CATTTAATTTAATAATAATTGTCAAGGTCGCACCCAAGGGGATGGAGGAGGCTAACGGACTAAAGTCCCCTCCACCAAAAGGTTGGCCCTCAACATTTTGAAAAATTTTATTAGGGATCGAATGAAAATTATAATAAAAAAATTATCAGCTACTGAAAATGCTAACACAAAAAAGCTACATAAAATGGAGTTCATGCTACAGTAGCCGAGTTTGATTTATGGTACCGAAAATTCCAATGCTTAAAACACTTCGTTACCACATAATGCAACTGATGCATTAAACTTGTGTATTGAAACTATATGTTCAAACTATATTTATGCTTTTAAAAATATTCTCAACATTGCCTGTTTCGACTTTCGGATTTATGTTCTTTTTTTTGAAATGAATACTATTAATATTTTAAAATAATTTACATTAGCTCCCCTCTGCCAAAAAAAAAATCCTTTATGTGCCCCTGATAATTTTTACACAAATTTGGCCGATTATTAATCCTTTATAGGACATAAGGGATAAGGTGCCTTAGTTTTGCTTTACCTAACATTTATTTTCTAAAATCATATAATAATATATGTAATATGTATATTTTAAGAAATTTAAAAAAAAATTGTTTCATGAATACTTTCTGACTTAAAGGGCGATAAAATAATAAACCAATGATTGTCTAGGTCATCATTTAATATTAAATGACCACTGGTAAAATATTTTACCACCAAATTAAAAATTAGTAATGTATAAAATGTCAGTGATTGACTCCAACAGATTACAAATATCTGTGTCATTCATTATGAAAATACTTAAAATAAAACAAATATAATTAATAAATTATGTACCACTGACCTAAAAAAGGTTAAAGGGTTTTATTCCTACCTCCGGCGGTAAACCGCATAGCAATGTATTTTCTCCCGGTAAAATTTCACTAGAGATAATTTACAGGGGGTAAAATTTCAATTATAATTTTTTTTAAATAATTTTCATTATCTGCTTATATTGTTTGTTGTTTGTTGTCGAATATATATTACTATAATATGGAGAGGGATTTACTCTCTGTTTATAATATTATCGTTAGTTAATTTACTACAGATAGGCATTTAATTTGCGTAGTTTTACTGTTATATTACGTAGCTTTGGAACTTGTATTTTTCTTATGACCTTCTAATTCCTTATACCCGCACTTCGAAATTTTAATATTTCTCAAAAATTTCTATCATTTTGTTTGGAAGATAAATCGAATTTATTATTTCTCAACAAAAGTCAACAGAAAAAAAAAATATATATATATATAACACCATCGTGCAATTTTACCGCCCGGTAAACTATTTCTAATGAAATTTGAGATGACGTTCGACACAGCGTGGCGTTACTTTGGACGTGTACGTAGGATAACGGGACCTGGTGTCTAGTTAGATAATGTAACACAAAATTGTTTTATAATTAAATTGACGATTACGATAACTTCTAAAATACTAAAAATATCAAAGTGATATAATAAGATGTCTATCCTTTCATTCCTGGTAAAATTACCGACAAAATATAAAAACAAAAAAAAAATTAGGTAAATCGAATATTGGCACATAGATGATTTTGAACGAACAAGGTACGTCACGTATTTTATGCTCGTGTCTCATATTGTATAGTCGAACTCTACATAAATAATTACAAATTGTCTTATCATATTAAAAAAAAAAAAAAAAAAACGTCTTTTAATAATGATTAATACCGGGTTTTTCTCCCAGGTGTATTGTGTATCCAACAGAAATCCGGAAAAATATACAATCAAAATCCATGTGTGAATTTGAGCTTCCCTTATCATTATGGTTGAATTTCCAAAAAGTTCTTTAATTCTTAGCACTCTTGCTTATGTGTTACCTATGTAAGAAACCTCGCTGTGCAAGATCCAGTGGTTTAAGATATGCGGTGATGAATCGAAGCACGTTATTATTGTTACTAACGAAATGCATAGTACACCTAGTTATGTTACACAGTAAACCTACTAAAAACATCAGAACGGAGAACAATGGGGGAGGATTTGTACTACGGCAAGATGGTTCTCAAAAGCCTTGAAAAAAAAAAATATATATATACATACGAATTTATCATAACTATTTTAACGTTACTTTTCTTACACTCGTGCATTGCCCATAGGAAACCTGTATTTTGTTCTGTTTATTAATTATGAAATATGATATGGATAAGATATTTAGTAATTACAGTGAAAACACCGATTGGATTTTTTTGGGAGTGTTAGTTTTAAACTTGGGGGTGCTAAAGACCCCCTAGCTTGTGACTTTGTATACAAATAATTGTAAATATGTATGAGTAGTATAGGTAATATATAGGTAGCATAGGTAATGTAAAAATCAGAACAACATTTAAGCAGGACCAAACGTTAGGCAGCAGAGTGACAGTGTTATTGTAAACAAAAGTACAAGAACTACAAAACATTTCCTTGCTGAAAAACCAAATCGAGACGTAATGCATATTATTATGTTTGACGTACCTAGTGTAGTATATTTTTCGAAAGTGTATAGGTGCGAGTACATTATTAATACTCGGGGGGCTCGTAAATTTTAGGAGTTGCATAGTAGGTAGACAGGTATTGTTTCTTGGCGGTCTCGATTTACAGTAGACCGAGCTAGCAATCCGTGTTTCGGGAGGGTTCAATAATAATCGAACATTGAAAATTCGTATAGGTACCTACTTCAAATTTCTCGGGAAAAGGTGAATATTTCATTGATTTCCATAGCGTACCTGCCTGCGCATATTATACATTTTCTAAAAATAAATTGATTTATTTTAATTTTAAATAGGTAATGTTAAAAATAAAGTTCAATATTTAATTAATGTAGGAATTAATTGCCATTGTGCATAGTAAATATAAGTCCTAAGCATTATGTATTAAATACAAATTTTGTATTATAATGTATTTAATGCACATTGCACTCATAATAGGTACGTGGGTAAGGAATTTAACGAAATACTATCTAATCGTCGATAATAATTATCGAGGTTATCGTAAATCTAATTTTTCAGTTCAATAAAATGTCAAAATGCCAACCAGTCGTCCGACGTGTTTTAATGTTTTAACCTTTTATAGCATACAATTTAACAACATTAGATGATTTTTTTTTTAATTTTGAATAATTTATTGTATATTTATTACAATGTTTTTGCACATTTTACCGTTTTCGTTTGCATTTTTTTTTTCGTACATATTAGTATGCGTACATCGTTTATTTGTGTAGGGCCGTATTTAGGTAGAGGATCAACAGGTGTGGTTATTTTTAAAGAGGTGCATAATTTTTTTAATATATGTATATTTTACTGTAGACAATTTATATATACAATATATGTAATAGTTCATACTTAAATTTTTCTTTTCGCTCCTGGATGAAAAATTACTAAATACAGATCTGAGTGCATCTTATCATTATAATTAATAAATAAAAACAAAATTTACCAGAGCTAAATGGAAATTGAATTCACATAAATTGAAAAATACTGTGCCCAAATATACATAAATATTCTTTTGTTTTTTTTTTCTGTTTCCGCTATTATTAAGAAAAATGAAAAAATAATCTCACCGATGTATGTCAACTAGACTAAATTTGCCACCAGAAACTATACTTGAAGTTGATGATTGAAGTGAGTCTTCTGGTAGAAAAATTGGTCTGGCAGAAAACAAAAACATACATCTTTGTAAAACTAAAGGCCTTTGTTTCCTACAATCATGCATCTGTGAATGTGTGGTGCGCGATTGCAAAATATAAAGTATGTAAAACAATAAGTGATTTCTATAAAACAGTTGGAAAAAATTGTTCTTATTTTGAGATAAAAATATTTAGATGGTTTAGTTTTTCTACTATATGCTATAGCCATATGTTTATTTTAAGTTAATTTTTATATATTTTGTATTTACATTACATTAGTAGTAACTTTTGCTACTTTTGATTATGAACTGCAGATTTTGATAACTTGCTCCGATAATTATTTTTGTGAAAACATTTAAAATATTATCATTGAATAAGTATATAATGTAATCAATGATATTTAAATATAGTGTAAGTACTTATAATATTGTACACTATATAATATTATGTAGCACTAACCTATTATTAAAATATTTAAAATAAAAACATTGCTTTTTTTTCCTATCAATCAGCCAGGATACTTTCAATTACATACGTAAATATTATATATATATAGATAATAACTATATACAGTGTATCCCACCATTTATGACAGATTTTTCTAAAGCTATTAATATTAAATATTTTTCAAATTTGTTTAAACACAAAAAAAAAAAATAACTTTATTTATTCACTTTATACAATTTTCAAAATAGCCGTTTTGTAAAAGTTATTATTCTAACAGTTTTAATGTATCACATATTCATATCCAATGAATAGTTTCTAAGTAATAGCTATTTTAATTTAAAAGACAAACTGATTGAAATAAAAAAAAATTTAATATGAATAGCTCTAGAAAAATCCATCAAACATGGTGAGACACACTGTATATATAGATAATAGGTATAGCACTTTGTGAAATCAAAAACTTATACAATTGTCCAACTGTTTTTGATGTAGAAAGTATTATCATATTATTGAATAACTTAAAGGATACTCGAAAATGAGCTTGGAACTTTGATTCATTTTCAACTAAATGTCTTTGTATTAAGTTATTGAATCATCCTTCTATCTTTCTTTCATTATATATATATCAATATAACTCTAAGATATAAAGAAATGAGTAAAAGTTCATCATCTGCATCATATCGCATCAAATTTTGAAGTACCAAGTCCATTTCTTCCATATGATTTGATTGTCTGACTTTTACTGAACAACTTTCAATCCCACTGTGTATAGTGTAACAATACACCTGTATCACGCATCACGCAAGTGCGACCAAAAAATTGAGACTAATTGAGATATGAACATAACTCATGTATCATTAAATATTAAAATAACCAATAAAAAAAATTAAAAAAAAAAAAAATTGTTCCAAGGTATTAAACATTTATATTACAATTAAATTGCATGTCAAAATTGGAAAATATCTATATAGTGACATAGTAATGATACACTCATTATCAAGCACAAACTAGAAAATGGAGTACATTGATTATTTTTTTTATGTAATAATCATTATTTAGGCTTCTACCTATAAAATTATAAATAAAATAAATGTTTGCATAAAGCTTAGGGTGGTATTTAACCTATAGGTGTTGAAAAAAAAAAATTTGAATTCACAGGCTTGGAATGCTGTTAGGTACATTGTACAAATAATTTTTTGAAATTTTGGGTATTGTAAATCAATCCCTTCTAAGGAGTTGAAGTTAATAAAAAAGGGATAGATTTTATGCTAATTTTTTTGAATTTTGAACATGCAAAAATGCACCAAAAACTTTATTATAGTAAAAAAGATTTCCTACATAGTAACACTCTTGAACATTTCAGTAAAACTTACCGTTATAAATGAAAAATAAATTTTAAAGTTGGTAGATTTGAAATTTTACACAATCTTGAATTTTCTGTTACAAATTTACAAAATTTTAAATTGTTTTTCACATATAACGGTAAATTTTACTGAAATGTTCAAGAGTGCTATTATGTAGGAAATCATTTTTACTATAGTAGTGTCTAATACATTTTTTTAATATTAAAAATTTTAAAAATAAACGTAAAAAAACTTCAGAAACATATACTTTTTACAAACTTTAACCCTTTTGAGGTATATGAAGCAGTTGATTTATCATACCCAAAATGTAAAAAAAAATATTTTTAAAATGTACCAAATATAATTTCAAGTCCGTGGCACAAAAATTATTGGAGTTCAGAAATAAGGACCATCCTAGTAAAGCTACATGATTTTATAATGCAAAACAACACATTTATCAACACATAAATAAAACAAGTAAGGTGATAATAATGATTAAAATATCTTATGACTATAATGTATTTAGTCGAATATAAATAAACAACATAACAAAACAGAATTGGTAATATTACAATAATATGATATTGAGAATTCATTAAAATTAATAATAATAATTTTAAAAATGTGCTAAAAACAATTTCTAACATCAAAAATGAAAATAAAATTAACATATTTGTTACCATCGTACATGGTCTTTGTATTCTTTAAGAATACTAATTCTTTTGATGCTTTCGTAACCTAAAATAATTGTAAAACTAAAACATATTGATTGGACTAGTCTAGCTGAAAGTCCTTTGGTAAACATCATCAAACCTTCTTCTTTCCACAACGAATTGAATGTTCCAACAATTGAGTTAGTCCTTTGAACCTATAAACAATTAATTTGTATAAGTTATAAATATTTCATTTTAATTTAATTACAAAAAAAAGAATGTTTCTTACCTGTAAACGAGCTCTAATTGTGTCCATTGGATTTGTTATTAATGTAGTTGTGAATCCGGCTAACACTCCAGATATGCTTTGTACCAATAAAAGTGAAGTATTCACTGGACACCTTTTTTCAAGTTGTTCTAAATGTTTAAAAATGTTTACAATTTTGTTATCTTAGAAAATATTAACTTTTTTCAGAATTTGTTTTGTATAACATTTAATTAACAACTAGTTCAACTCTACACTTTTACATCTGTTATTTTTTTGTCACCCTTAATTTTGGGAGTATAATCACTGTCTACTTTTGATTTTTGGATGGTAACATATATTTAAAAATCCACAAATAGATGGAGTAATAATTAAAATAAATTTTGGTGTTAAAATTTTTGTTTTCAGTTGACAAGATATTCCACTTTTAAGTATGGGTTGGAGGAGAGTAGTGGTGCATTACTAAAACGCCACACGCTATGTTGCCACACAAATTACGATCTTACAATCCCCAATGCAAACTTAAAAGAGTAATATCTAGCAAACAGATTGACGGATTTCAAAAATTAAAACACCAATATTTATTTTAACTAATACTCCACCAATCTGTGGAACTTTAAAAATATAGTTTTCCATTAGAGAATATATAGTAAGTAATGGTTTTACCTTCAAAAAAAGATACATAAATGTAAAATTGTAGAGTTGCTGGTTTCTTATATGTTCTATAAAATAAACTCTGAAAAAAAAATTAATTCTTTTAGAGATAATGAGTGAGGGTCACTCATTATACACTCCATTTAAGAGGGCACTTAAATGGCACACTGTTTATATTATAGGTAAATAAATCAACCAAAAGTAGTTTAGTCACCTGGTTTAAAACCTAAACACTAAACAATGCTGTATATACTTTAATACCTTGAAATATTGTATAAAAACTCCACCACAAAGCACTATTGGGTGCATATGTACACACTGAAGCAACATAGCCTCGATAAAACCCTTTAAAACCATCTTGCTGGTAGACACATTGAGTTATGTCTAATGTAGTGTGGAATTTTGATTTTGAAATGTCTAAATGAATTCCTAACGGTCGGAAGAATACCTGGAAAACAAAAATGTATTCAAATTTTTTACAAGTCAATTGGTGTATGTAGGTTAGGGTGGTACTTATTTAGGTTATGGTGGAATTTTGTTTTTAAAAACAAAATAAAAACATTGAGCCCTATTTGAGCTTCTTAGTAAAATTATTTCTCTTCCTGTAACGAGGAAAAGTTTCCCATTTAAAATATATTGGGGTTTTTGTGTATTCTAAATTTTGTTTAATTGTAAAAAAAGAAATTCCACCATTACCCAAATAAGAACCACTCTAATGTAGGTATTATTAATTATGGTAATAAAATAATTGATATTCTAAAAGAAAAAAAATCTTTATACAATTAATACTATTTATAGTTGTTCATAAAACATAATTTTTAAGTTCAAATATAAATTTATAATGATAAATTAAAAAATAACATTATACAAAAAATGTTTTTCAATAATTAATACATAATGACTATCAAGATTTATATTTAAACTTCATAAAACTGCGTGACAATTTTTTCTTCAAAATCTAATAAATCACAATATCTCTCAAAACTATATAAAAATAATTATTGGCATAATATTATCATCATTTTAAATTAACTGCGTAGTTAATAATTATTTCTATATGTTTATAGAAATTAGTTTATTACAATAAAAATATAAGTTCACAATCAATTATTTTAATCATAAGAAATTTAATATTACTCACCATGATTAATTAATAAACAAAATTATTAAATTTAGTTAATAACCATGGATAATTTATTGTGAGCAATTAGCCAATAAAAGCCAATTCTAAATTATTATTATTTAATATTTCATAATATCTAATAAAAAAAAATAATAATAATATAATAAAAATTAAACTGTGAGGTTCAAAAAATTGTTTTCTTATAAAAATCATACAAAATCAAATTGATATACATTGACATTAAATCTGAATTGCTATTTCCCAGTGCTACCATAAAATTAATACTGAAAATCAAAATAGTTTTTATTAATTAGTGTTAAATCAATTAAATGCATTATAAATTACTAATCTAACGGTAATATCATTAATAACTTAATCTGTTAAAGATTCAAAATAATATTCACAAATGCAATTATAAGATAGAAATATAATAAAGTCAAGATAACATTTTTTTCTCAAATATTTAAGATCAAAGGTCAAAAGTTAAAAATTATCTTTTAGAATATGGAATTCACATAACCAATAAAATGTATGAATTGATAATATTAAAATAGAACTTTCAAATATTATATATTATATAATAATTTAATATTTATGAAATGTGTTTATATTTTTGACCTTTGGAATTGGCCAGTAATTTAACAAATTCTAAGTTAATTATTACTTTAAAGTTTAATTTTCTAAAATGTATAATATAGTTTTATGAAGTTCTTTAATTTTTTAAGTACTAAATTATTAATATAGTTGCAGACAATATATCAGAATTTAATATAAATTTATGAAATCTTACCATTTTCTTTTTATCTGTACTATTTGAGGTATTATTGGTGGACAAACCAAGCATCATCAAGTGTTGACTGACAACATCAAAAGGCACAATTATTGTTTGCCCAAATACTGAAGCTACACCCCCGGCAACCATTGATCTAATTTCAGGCCATTGTTGCAAGTATGGAGCTGTCAAATATCTAGTTTGTTCATATGCACCAATGTAGGCCGCACCAGAAAAAACTTGGGCAGAACTCACCCAAAAGCCACGATAAAGTCCTGACATACCCTCTGTATAATAAATACGATTAGCTGCATCTAACAATCCTAAAACCAAAAACAAAAATTAACTGAATAAAGAAATTTAAATTATTAATTTGTAAATTATCTATTAAAATAACCACCAAAAATTGTAACTACAAAATAAATAAATGTACTTAGGTACCTAACTCATTCCATAGAATATCTGTACAAAAAATTATAAAAATTGAAGCCTAACTATTTGTAAAAATCATTATCTTTCAACTGTCAAAAAAATACAAAAAAAGAAGATCATATATTAATTTTAATTTTATATTGTTTGTGTACAATTTGCTTAAAAAAGAATACTTGTCAGATCAGATAAGTACATCAAAATACTTGAATAATAGATCTTCTATAAAGTCAAAGAAGTCAGTCAAAATTAAATTTTGAATTTAAAAAAAAAATTAAGGTAGGTACTTAAAACTTATTTTAAGTATTTGATTTGTTTTCAAGTACTTATCAATTTTAATTTATTTACTGATTAATATTTTATTATTAGGCAGGTACTTATGTTTTTTAACCTACCTACCTACCTATTTGTATAACTAACCTACAAACATAAATCATTTTTTAACAATCTTACCCTTATACATTTCTCCGTGTTTTTGAATTTGTAATCTTGTTTTAATTAGAGTCAGTGGATAGAGAGTACACCGTACACAAAATGAGCTTAACATACTCAAAGGCAAAAATTTTGTTTTGTCCATCATGTCCCATTCAATTGTCGTTATATGGATTGTTGGCGCTATTGTGGATGGTTCTGTCATTTTTCTTAGATATTATTGAAGAATATTAACAGTAGATATAATGTAAATTTTAGATGATCATTATATTTGTTTATAATATTTTAATTATTGTTCAAACAAAAATTAAATATTAATTTAGTCTTTTAATAATTGTTTGTGTTTCAAACAATACAATTTCAAAACATATACAGGTAAGTCTATGTGTATCGTCATTGTATTAAATAATTTAATTTAGTTAATAATAATAATAATAATGGAAAATGCAAAAAAAACACAATAATAAATAATAAATATTGACGACTGGTGATCTTAAGAGTCAAGAGCAAATTATTAGCAAAACAGCAAACACAAAATAATCTTATCATTAACAAAGTTATGGTATCAATAAACCATAGTGTTGTATTATTATCATAAATAATATAACCTTCTTATATTATCTATGATTATTATGTACCATTATAACCAATGTAACCTGAATTTTTAAGGTTAATGTTTGTACTTAACAATGTAGATTATAATTTAAAATTGAAATTTTAGATTTAGAGCGAAAAATCTACTTATTAGTTTAGTTTTTGTTTTTTTTTTTTGTGGCATTATGAATTCTCCTCAATGTAAATTGGGTTATTTAGGAAATACCGAAGGTTCTGCGTTTTTTTCTCAAGGTAAACTATTTGTATTTTTTTTTTTATTACTTACCTATTTCTAATATTAAATCAATTTTCAGGTAAAACTGCTGTATGTGTATCAGTCGTCGGACCGTTCGAACCAAAGGCTAGCAAATCCATGTATGATCGTGCTACAGTGGATGTTACTTTCAGGCGAAAGACCGGCAGCATAAGTATGTACCTATAATTATGTCTTAATATTGTTGGACAAATTACTTTACCTGTGTTCTTTTTACAGGCGTTCATGATAAAATGTTAGAAGGAATTATGCAGTCAACATGTGAAATAGCCTTAAACGTTGAACAATACCCTAGAACGTCCATTGTCGTGACAGTACAAGAAATGCAGGACAGAGGAAATGTACGCGTACCTACCTATTATATTTTTTCTAGCCAATCAATAATTACTGTTCAATAATAATTAATCATATTGTGTCCTAGTTATTGTCCACCTGCTTGAATGCGTCTTGTATGGCATTGATAGACTCTGGTATTGCAATGCATCATTTGTATGCAGCTGTGAGTTGTGCAGTTACTGAAAGCGAAGAAATCATTCTCGATCCGGACGAATTACAAATAAATGTAATTAAATTACAAAACATATTATTATTAAAGTTAGGATGTTTATGCAGTAAAAATTGAATGAATATGTAAGCACTTATGCACTAAAAAGTAAATAAATATCCATACAAAATAATAAAATAATATAATTATAAAATACAGATAATCTAACTCAAATTCAGAATAATATGAGGTTTTTTATATTTTCCACTGAAGGCCATCAAGCATCTGCTTGAAAACCGAAAAGAAAGTCCAAAATATGGACTTATAAGTAAAAATTGAAAATATGTACAATAAAAGTTGCATTTTTATAATACAAACATCACGAAACTAATTATATTTAAAAGCATAAACATCCCAATCAGAATAATTATATTTAATAGGTATTGCTTATTTTTCAGTCTTCAGTCGCATATTTTACATTAGTCTTTTCCAACTCTGAAACCAGACGGCTGTTAACATCGCATACTACTGGTGAATTTTCCCACTCAACATATGTACACTGTATGGACAAATGTTTTGCAGCCAGTAAAGAAATTTTTAATTTTTATAAAAATATTGTTAAGAAAAGTTCTATTTTTAATTAATAATGAATATAGTTATTTAAATATGTAATATAATTGTAAAATATAAACTATTGTGACTATAGTGTAATAATTTTTTTAAGATTAGAAATATTGATCATGAATAAAAAAAAAAAGTACTCGTTATCATTTTTCCAGTATTAACGACTATTAAAAATGTAATAGTTCCTGTTATTAATCCACTTATTTCTATAATGCATAATATAGAATGCTATTGAGTGTTGGCTGTTAATTATTATAGGTATTTACCTTGGTGTACGTGCTCTCTAACATATCACTCATAGTCCTTATATAGTCTATGGTACGGATATTGATAACTTTTATCTATATTTGTTATCAGTATAATATATTTCTTTATTAGCTGTAGTCATACTCGAGAAGTTTTCATTAATAATTCTCAATAACTTTCTTCAATCGTGTCTGTTTAATACTATTAAAAGTGATTAAGTATCAAAATGTCCAACGCCCAAAACGAAAATGAAACTGCTCTGGAATGGATAAACTTGAAAAAAAGTAAAGGCAAAAAACCTGATTATATTATCAAAGCAGAATCAGAAGACATTGGCAACAAATTTGTACGAAAATTTAAAGAAAATCCGTTTGTACCCATTGGTAAGCCATTTTACTCAATTAATAATTAACAAGCTTTGTAAAATATTACCTTCACTTCTCATAATAAAGATGACCTTGTAACAGTTAAAACTCAAAATATAAAGTAGTTAGGTTTCTACTTTAAAACTCGCAACAAACTGTTGGGAGTTTGTTATAAATCTAATAAGAAACCAATATGCAATAATATAAAACTGGTATTTACTAACTTTTAGTTAATAACTGTGCGTATTAAATGTTTAAACAAACCGATTAATAATTGTGTAGGTAGGTGTGTTTCACTTCACCTAAACTTGAAAGTGGAATAGGTATACCCAATAAAATATATTCAGTGGGTGAAATACTTAATTAATTTTTCTAATAGGATTATATGATTATGTTTTGGTAAACTGGAATTAGATATTAATTTTCCTAGGTACCTAGCCATAAATAACCTGAATTTACCTTTTTTGTAGTTTAGATTTACCAATAGAAAGTAAACGAGCAATCAAAAAATTAATAGGTACCTATGTGAAAGTTGAAAGATATGTGTTAAAAATATGCAATTAAAATGATGAAATAATTAAAATTACAATTTTTAATAGCAAAAAATTTTGATGATTACCTATATTAACAAATATTTTAGGGGGTAGGAGGAATACGATGGACAAATTAATCCTACAATTATAATATTTATACTTAAATAGATGGTAGTTGGGACTACTATGGTCTATTGACCATACAATTTCAAAACTGATTCAGTGCCACTGATATTACCTACCTGTCATAATGGTAGATAACACCATTTTAATTGCCATTGTTATAATTTATTTACTTATCATTTATACGTAGTATTTACATAACTTAGCCAAAATAAATGTAAGTAATTGGTTTATAAAACAGAAAATTATCCAGAATTATTTCCTTGGTATATTACAATAAATAATATTCAAAATATTATTGAGTAATTTTATTAATAAGCAAAAAATTCAAAATTAAGAAAATCCCATTTCCCAACATTTACATTTTTTTAGATACTACCTTTCAATTTAGTAGGGCAGTATACAGAGTAAATTTATTTTCAATATTGAAGTTATTGATAAATAATTCTTACTTACGATTCAAAAATAATCCTCAGGAGAATTTAAAATTAAAATGTTGACTATGTTGTTAATTTTTCACCGTCATTATGTGGAATTCTAATAAAAAAAGGTGTTTGATAACGTTGTAAAACTATTATAGCATTCGAGTTCCTCTCAGAATCTAAATGTTATAAAATAATTAATTTAGTTTGGTAATTACAAAAGAAAATGTAAGTAACTTAATTGAGTACTTGCTTTCTTGTTGCATTAATAGAAAACGAATGTGTACTAGAACCTAGGTAGTGTTAACTAGTCGCAAAATGAATAGGTAGGTACTTTAAAAAATACGAGCTACACAAATGTAAAATACCCATCAGTAATTTAGTATCGCATAGCACAAAACATAGGTATTATTATAATTATTGAAACGATCTAACCAATTGTTCAATTTTTAATTTTAATATGGGGTTGAGAAATTTGTTTCAGGTTTTTTTAAAGTAATCTATTTACTTATAGGTTATACCTAAGAAAAAAATTAACAACCATAATAGGTAGGGTAGGTGAATATTATAGTAAATAATACATTTCTTAATTACTAATTCAAATACTGTAATCAGTAAAATTCTGAACACTATTAAGTTATAGTATGTTAATAATCGGACATTTTTACAATACCCACTATTGGATATATTACAAAAATTGAAATACTACAATATAATGTTATTGTGTAATGGTTGTACCCAAGTCAAATTAATATACACGCCTAGGCCTACAGGTCAAATCAATTGGAATTTAACGGATGGTACAAAATATGTTGACGTTTATTGAAATCTATATGTGAACATAATGCACGTGCGCCGCCAATAATTAACGTCTGTTGGGCGGATAACGCTGGATTTTTTTCAAAAATAAAACTATTTTTAAAACCTTTTTCCGGAGTTTTTATTTTTAGCGTACATCGATGCTGCGTCGATTTACGATCGAAAAACAGCTGCGAAACTCGACGTCGAACGACGGGTTAAATAAAATAATTGTCGTTTAATTAGTTATTTTACAATTATACTGCAAATTGATTTTGAAAATCGTAACAACAAAAATAATATAGCTAATCGTAACTTTCTTACTCGTCGTGTCGTCCACGAGTCATAGGGTAAATGAACTCGAGAATTATTAATTGCCCTGACCGACTATAATGTCAATTACTATTAATACTGGTCCGTTGGTCGTTGGTCACTGATAGCGTATGAATAACAAAATAATGATTTTAATTTGATATTAAGCTGATATTTTATTATTACCTACTGTAATAAAGGTTAATTCTTTAGATTTTGAGTGGAACGAAAAAGCTTATTGTTTTTTTTTTTTAAATTTTTAATTGGCTTTTTTTGATTTCCCCGGGAGTTTTCCCAATGAATGGAAAAAAACGTAAGAAAAACGGGAAAATAGATACAATATTAAACAAATATTATTAAAGAAAATATATGATGCTTATGTAATTATTTTACCATACCATGACATATATGTTGTTGACAAAGCAACACTATCAACTGAACTCCGCTCAGAATCGTTTTTTCGTTAGCAGTGGTTTTTTGTTGCTTCCAGATATACTTACATTAAATTACTAATAACAGTGGCTGCACCCGTTCCCATTTGCCATTATCCTTGGATAGCTTTTTTTCTATCACGAACCAGAAATTTTCTTGGATGATTATCATTTAGGAGGACAATTCTAGGTGAATTAGTATTTTGTATTTTTTATTAATTGTGCAGAATCGGTTGAGCTTCATTTTAAAACCATTTTTAATTGTTTACCACTACTCTATATACCTTAAATAGTAATTATATACTTTGATTTTTTTCAAATAGGATCCCCCTCTCCCATTTAAACATAGATTCGAATAGAAAAAATGTTTTTTTAGAAATTTTGATGTGTAAAACACTAATATCAGATTTACCGTTTATAACTTATAACCATTTAAAGTTTAGATCGGAGAAGTCGGAAAGAGTTATTAATTTATCAATTCAAAACAGGTGTACAATTTATTACCCTTTCCTACGCCTTTGGTCTAAACTTTAAACAGTACTTCTGCAGATATTAGTGTTAAACGTATCAACATTTCTAAAAAGATATTCCCTGTTCAAGTCGTGTGTTCAAAAAAGTGAGAAGGGTTCCTTTTTGAAAAACAAAAGTAAATTATTATTTAACGTATATCTTAGTTTCATATAATAAGTCTAAAATTGTAAAAAAAAAAAAATTAATGTAAACTATTATTATGGAATATGAATGCATTAGATTTTTTTATTAAAAATTGTGAACTCACGGGCCCTTACACGAACCTGTTCAGCAGGGCCCATTATCTTTTCGAAAAAATAAACAATAGTATAGAGTTTGGGCGAAAAATTTAAAATGGTTTTGAAATAATGCTTAAAAGATTTAGATTAACAGAAGTAGAATTCACATAAAATCCTCATAAAAATTGTTGGTTTATGATAAAAAAAAAAAAAAAAAATCACTGTATATAATATATATTTGAATTTATTATGATTATTTACGGGTATACGTGAGAGGGTACATGCGTTTATCTGGCCGTGCGGCAATACGTGACTAAAAAACAACACCAACACGTCGGTATACCTAAACAAAACATTACTATTATAACGTTAGTAAATATTGTTGTTACGATTATGATTTATAGAAAACTCCGATTATAATATAATGGTCCGATAATAATAATAATAATATAATCGTGACCGAAACAGCTACTACGATAATAACAATGCCTATAATATACAAGCCTCGTATAAAAAAAAACGAATTTTTTTCTCCGCGTCCATTCTCCGTCTTATAGTTATTTACACTATAATTGGATATAAGACTCGCGGATTCGGATATTATTCTGACATTCTGTAGGAGAGAGGCCCTTTAATTCGACCTCTACGTTCACATAAATACGCCCCCGACGGCACATAATGTACCGGATTTAAGACTACGATTAATATTATAGTTATATGAGTGATTTTTTTTTTTTTAGGCGCTCTGGTCACCGTGGGATTCTTGAGCATAGGTCTCAAAAGTATGTACGACGGCAACCGAATGAGATCTCAAATGATGATGCGCGGACGTATAGCGGCCCAGGGATTCACCGTTATCGCCATATTGGGCGGTTTGTTCTATCAAGGGATGAAAGCGTTGGACGATGCCGAAAAGAATCAAGTGGAAACGTTGGAACCTGTTCTGAAATAGGTTTCCGCCTGCGGGGCGTCGACGTATTCGCTTCAAAAACTTTTATTTCACATTAATTATTTGTTTTGTATTGCTATTTTTTTTTTTTTTTTTACTTTATATATACCTACCCGTTTATTTAACATTTGCCTGTTATATCCGTATGCTTTAGTTCGTAACGATTCAATAACTGATTGATAATAATTTTAATAAACAAAAAAAAAAAAAAATTAAACTTTCTTCTAATGGTGTAACGCTCCTCGGATATGACGGGACGCGTTTATGAAAATTGTTTGTACATATTGTGTTCAAATACTCATGTAGAAAAATAGATGGTATATATTATACTATATTATTGTTACGTTTTTACGCACTGATAGTATACAATTATATTATATATTATTTAGTTTGAATAAAATAATTATTTTCTCTAATAGATTCGTTTTTTATTACAGAAAATATTATGTTGAATACTTTATATTCAGCCATTTGGCATTTACGGTTAATAAACGTAGGTGGTGCGTAGCCACATTGGATAGATTTGTTAGAAAATAATAATGACGGCTTTGGGATTTGAGTCGAAATGTACAGTGAAACTTATGAATATAGTTACCAGATACCATGGCCCATGGGGCGTGTAAAGAAGTGTTAGCTACAGACAAGTAACATTGTACATTTTTTAAATTTTTATATGAATGATTAGATTAACATAATATAGAATTTATGCGAAAACTGTACTGTCCTAGCGAAACAAGCAAAATTGAGGTTATTAAATTTTCTGGATACTTAATTGAATAATTCGGCGATTTTTCTCCTTTTTATGTGAACCACAAAAATACTCCACTAGAAATGGCTTTGAAATGCATTATAAAATGTTGTATTGACTAAAATATTGTCAAATACTTGGGAAAAACACAAAAAGCAGTATGTGCAATGGAGATACTGTTTAATTTATTAGTAAACTGATTTCTCGATCCATATACTACATATTTACCTAGGTAGGGTTATCGGTCCTGGTTCAGAAGAGAATCCAGGGGGAGCAGGGGCGTCGTCCCCCAGACTATAGATTATACACAATTTGTTACTTTCACAAATAATTAATTGTTTAATGCATATATAAAACAAAATTTTCAAGGTAGAAAAGCTGAGAGGAGCGATTAATGTATTCTACCATATTTATGGATATATATATGTATTTTTTGTTTGTCTGAACAAATTTTCTCTCAAAAATCTTACTTTAATTAAAAAATAGGTTAGTATTTTAGTGCTTACAGATATAAGTTATAACCTTATGTGTACTGCCTTCTCATCTTCCCACCCACAACAGTGGTTGTACCCATCCCCAGTACCCCAATAACCATAGCCTTCTTAAAAATCAACTTTGGATCCACCACTAGAATAATTGTACGTGTCAAACACATCATATATCTAACATTTATCAAAATTCATTAGATACCTAAGTACTAACAGTTAGTTATAATAATGGTTAATGTTACCAACTATAACCATTATTTATTTATTTATTTAATTAAGTGTTAATCATTCTACTATGTTGATATCAATTATTATTTATTACAATCAGTAAATAAACAATTTTAACACCTTTGAGGTGATACTGAATTTGAATGTTTATTTTTCTTGTGATACTCAAATATAAATCATGCTAGAGAATAATGCAGCATCTTTTTAAAAATAACAAAAATAATAAACCAAGTACAAAAAACACTTTAAACAATTTAAAGATGCCTACATTTAATAATTAATGCAATAAGAAGTGAGTGGTGAAAATAATAATTTCACAGTAAAAAACAAAGAAATCGGAAAACTCACTTTTTCAACAAATTAATTTTTTGAAGATATCTACTGCTTGTTTTACTAGGAGTGCAGTATAACCAGTGGTGATTTAAATTTATATCCTCTGAAGCAGTTGCTTTATGACCAAAATAGGTGTGTGGGTGAACGTATATGTGATACTTCACATCTTATATGATATTTTAATGTAAAAAAGTGAAGTACAACCAGTACAGGAATATCTAGTAGTCTACTTTTAGTTACAGCGCTTGCTTCTTCTGGGCTTGGGTCATATGAGTTTTATGCAATTTTATTGAAACTGCTTTATAAAAAAAATAATTCTCGCCGCCACTGCCTAGGTATAACCCTTCTACATCAAATTTCAATTTTATTCGTAATTTTGAGACTGTTAAATATATTTATAATTAATTAAATTTTTTGATTAATTTTGTATATTTTGACATAGTTTTACATACAAGAATATTCCAAGTAATATTTGATAAAAGTATAAAATTCTATTCAGTGTCAGTTTTCGTTCGTTTTCCAATTCAACATATTTATTATTTGAACAATATTGTTTGAGGTACTCTAGGTACTTATATACAACAAAAGCGAGAAATTAAAAGATTTATTTAGAAAGGTATAGTTATTTATACTTTGTTACATAGATACAATGGCGTAAATTAAAAAGTATAATTTCAGATAATGATATAAAAATCAAAAAATAATGTCATAAATATAATAATACACGAATAAAAAAATAATTACATTGCGACAAAAATATATAGGTATAGGGGAGGGCATAAATTGTACGTTATAACGTCGTTTAAAAACGTGCTGTTTAATTCGTTTTTTTCGCGTTCAACACCGCCGAAGCCATGGTCGTGTCCACCTCGTTAACACCCAGACACGTGTAATTTCCTGTGTGAGCCAGTTTAAATTCCGTGATTTGCACCCACGAAGTCACCATAAGCTGTTCCGGACCTCCTCTGATCTGTATCGAAATGAGCGTATCGTCTCCTATAAAAGGAAAGAAAAAAAAACATTAACCTACCTGTAATCTGTATGTATTTGTATTATTATGTAGGATTCCTTAGTAATCCATATAATAATATTTACGACGGACATTTTCGTGTGACGTCACAGTGAATGCCATCGTTATTATATTATTAGCTATGTGAATTTTTATTGGAGGGCGTTCAAAACTCAAGCTTTCCTTTTAACGAATAATCCGAATTCCTGCTACAATCCGTTTTTAAGCTTATCTATTATAAAATAAAATAAGATTTTTTTTTTAACTATTGATGTAGGTATAGGTAACCTGTTGGGCAATTTCCTTAGACACCATAAATTAAAACTACGGAATACAATTATTAATGGTCAAATAACGAATCCCGCGAAACTCCCCGATTTTATGGGTTCGAATCATCTCATTTTTATCGAGCCCCCCCCGTTTTAGAGCACCTATAATTATTTTAAATAATAATATTAATTACAAGTGGTCATATTTATATATTTTACTAATTACAATTTGATTATATTTCGTTCAGTTTTGATTTTTTTTGTTTGTATTATAATGCTATCTACTGAATAGGTTAGTAGGTTATATATTTATGATATAACAGAGACTAACTACAATAGTTCATGTATTAAACATATTTTAAACCCATCCCTCCCCCCCCCGGAAAATTTATTCTGAATACGTGCTTGGCAAGAGGTAAAAAGACCCAGTCCAATTTCGCGCACCTCGATGGCCCGATCATCTAAATTAAACTCTTATCTATATTTAGGGCATAAGTGTTGGGCGAAGGTTTAATACTCTATAACATTATATTGCACACATATCGATAACAAATAATAATTCAACGAAATAACATTATACAACTTTCACAGCCACCCCTCACCCTTCCCTACGGGAAAAAAAAACGGTTTCGAACATTTTCTAATATTCGTATATTATAAGACGTAACCGATGAACATCACAAGCGCACAGCGTTCGCGCATGGACGGGTTTCAGTATTAAAATTCAGAGAAGCCATAATTTTATATCGTCGACTTACCTATATCTATACTATATAAACTAATTTTTATCGACTTTTTAATCTCCTTTTGTACATCGTTCAATGAACGGCATAATAATACAGATTTCCATATTATAAAGGTACAGTTTTTATGATTTTATTGTTTAACAGCAATAATGCTTATAACATGAAAATATACGGCGATTGTCACACTCGACATAATCACCGATATATTTATATTATAATGTTGCGTAACGTTATCGATCGATTAGGGATAATATGGGTATAATATAGGTAGGTACAGGAAAATAAATAAAAGGGGTAGGTGGTACCTATATATAGGTTTAATTATTTAATAAATTGAAATCAAAATATGTCGTGTTTTTTAATGTCACGCGTAGATTAAGGAGGGAAAGCGGAGATAGTTTACTTATTATACATATTATATTCCTCCTCCCTATTTTCAGGGTCGTGATAATTGATTTGACGCAATATTTACTGTACCATTGTAACCATTGTCACCATTGAACTATAAAACGTAAGTATAACGCTTTTTAATTTATAAATAATAAACAAAGTAGCTAGTCACTCGTCTATAGTTTTTTTTCTTTATTTCTCATCACCCGAGGAGAAGTGAATATTTTGCCACCATGATAAGACATCGTTAAAGAAGTGATAATATTATGGGACGAATAAAAGTACACTACCTACTTAGTTAATAGAGTGGCTACATATACAAACATAAACACAGACCGAGGGAGAGTGAGACTCGTATATTGCCTATAGTGCGTAGATTGAATTTTCGGCACATATTAGTAATAAAAATCGGCTAACATAATAAGATAAGGTATTTTCTATAGATTTTATGACTTATTTTTATAGGCCATTTTACAAAAACTACGTGTATACGGGTTTGCACAGATTATCGTGCGGTGATCGTTTCTTTATTATACGTAAAACTGTACGAAAACAAATAAAATCCTAAAATATTTCATTGAATAGATATAATAAATACCTATGTAATTCTTATGGATTATAATAAAAATTGAATTTATTACGTGTAATTCTGGTTGTTTAGTATCGCGTGTCGGCTAAATACCTAATATTCACTGGAGTATAATACTTGATTCACAAATATGAATGATCACTTGGTTCACAAACTGCTTATAATATTCTTTAAATCAGTAGTTCCTAACTTCTGTTATTTTACGCCCCCTTTGTGGCCATTTAAAAATCTCTCGCCCCCTTTGTCTTTCAACAAACATAATGAGCAAAAAAAAAAAAAAAATAAAAGGGTCATTAGAGTGTCGATAAGTAAACAAATTTTATCAAAAATGTCCACTACGTCGCCTCTACGGCCTTCCTCGTAATCTTTATCGATACCTAATCTCTGGTCATTGTTAAATTTTTATTTTTTTCCCACATTGTAAAATACAAATAATTAAAAAATATAAATCATACTTCGTAATAATTGCTTGCACCTCTCCAGTAATGTGTACACACCCTCTAGAAGGGTGCGCCCCCTGTTGGGAAACACTGCTCCAAATGAATAATAAAAACACCGAAAGAGATGAGCTCTATGATTGCGGTATGGAAAATATTAATGTCGTTAAAAACTAAAAATAATATATTTTCTTGTTATTTTACCATTGTTAAGAAAACCACTAGGTGGAACTTCCGCACATTTTTAAGTATCTATCTACTGGTTGAATCATATTATTTCTTATCACAAGTCCTAAAAAGTGTTTAATTACAACAAAATGTTTCTTTTATTTCGCCAGATTTACAATCTAAAAATTATACTCATATACCTGGCAACCATTTCGTAATTCCATGTACGTCCGTGAATCGCCAGCTTATAGTTGGCACGGGATAGCCTTTCACTTCGCAATTGAATATTACGGGTTGTCCGACGGAGCTGGCATACTTTTTGGGACCCGAACTGATGACTGGCGCTAATATAAAAATACGAATACCTAGTTATAATATTATAAGTCACTTGCAATAATAATATATATTAGGTGCTTATAAAAAGAAAAATCTTAATATTTAACTTAAATTTCTAATTTCGCTACGGGGAATGTAAACTTCGTCGTTCCTGCAGCGATGTTATCACACGTTAAGTGCGCTGTACATACAAATTTCGAAGGAAAAAAAATGGACGGGTTTAAATTTAATTAAAAGGAAAATAAAGGTCCAATAAAAGTAAGAAAAAGTCAAAAAGCGATTTATTTTTTTTTAAATTTAACAACACTATTCGTGACATATTATTCAGATGTATCGCAGGCTTAAGCACTACTACGACGTACTTAAAATTAAACTCTATTGAAATGAGAAAAAAATGCTGTATGTGAGTATCTATTATATAATATACAGCTATTTGAAGTCACAGAGATATTAAACTAAATCTGTTTATTCGTGTACTTTGAAAAAAAAATTCCTCTCAAAGAGAATAAATAAAACGATGTACACACTCACGTATAATAATGAGACCAGTATCGGTGGTCTAATAAACAATAAGGCGTGTTTTAAGCCCCTGTACGTTTTTACCGAACGGCGTCTAAATATTTTAAATTTTAATACCTGTATACAGTCGAACTCGGTTAAATCGAAATCTTTGATATCATACTTTTGAACTCTCGAGTAATATTGTCGCCGTTTGTTTAATAACGGAAACATGTAATATAATACTCATGCAATAGGTGATTATACAACTCTAAAACTGCCAATAGGTATGCATACTTTTTATTTGTCTATTTTCGAAAAAAAAAATGTCGCTACATCACTCGTGATAATAACGGACTATAGGTATATAGGTATATAGGTAATATTTATCGGTGAGCAAATTATACTCGCATTCAAATTACTACCTATTTTAAATGTTTCCAGTTGATAATACAATTTTCTTTCCCTCTTCTTTCTAGCCCCTCCTCCCGGAAATTCGTTAATACACCTACACGCAAGACCCCTTAAATATAATCGATACACAATGTATATTCGAAGTAGGTTTTTATCAAGATTAAAATACACATAAGTTTTTATATTGTAAGGTATTTTCTCTATTCACCCGACTGACACGGTCCCCGGTGTTTCATCTTCAGAGATCCTTTCAGGGTGGCCGCCGCCTCATTTAAGTAACACGCCGTCCTGTAAGTCTTGTTGTTCGACCCGCAAACCAGTTGCTTTTCTTTGCACGCGCACCGGCTCACTGTCGACTCTGGGCCTGGGACATCACGTTCCTATAATATTCAAATACGATAATAAATCAAAACCAAACGATAACGATTATCATAATAAGTGTCGTGGCTAAATAACTATAAAGGTAAATATGGGTAAACATTGTAGGTAAATATGATTATGGCATTACGACGTAATATTCAATATTGTGAACCACGTATGGGTATTAACAATTTTATACCATTGAAAATTTATTGGAATTTCAAGGAAAGAAAACTCGGCTGGTAATGATTTTTTTCAAAGAATTTCTAAGCAAGGTATAATATGCAAATGAAAAAATCACTGCCACATACGTAGTGGCGTGGCGAGCATAGATAGGAAATGGGTGATTGTCCACGATCAATTATTATGGCTGATTGCAACACAGTTTAAGGAACCGATAACTCGCGCACTAAACTATTTACTAAGTTTTTTATTGTATTCACATATTATTATGATAACATTATAATTAGGATTTTTTCAACATTTTTTTTTGTTTAGTCGTAAATATTTTTACTTAATTAATGACTTGGACATTTTAAAGCACGCATGCCGGACTCTTTCAAAACTGATCAGTAACTTGTTAAAAAGTTAAAAATTAAATTACAAGTTACTTATTTTTTATAACTTTTATCTTAGCTGTAAGTATAGTTAAAAAACAAAAAATGTTATAAAATAACATAATTGTTTTCTTAGTAAAGAAATTTAACTTAACTTATATTTATTTTGTTAAAATTTAAATTATTTGCGAATTTTTTGTAAACAAACTCTTTAGGTGTAGATATTTATTTTTTAATGGAATTATTTTTACGTGAATATAATTATCAAATAACAAAAAGGGTATGTGTATTGTGTATAGGAATCACCGAAACTGAAATAATTATTTCAAGCATTTTCTTGAGGGCCAAATTATAATTTTGGACACATTTTTTAAAAACAATTTTCTGTGGCCTTTATAAAAACATTTTAATCCCCTACAAATTATAGTGCGTTTTGTTGTTTATTCGTTCTAATATCGGTTTGTAGGTACCGTACCGAATTATATTGTGGCTACTGCACATAACCTCCAAAACAAACTTTTGACGAGGGATAAAATGAGACCTCGTGAGTCGTGACGGTCAACACGATATAGCATAATATAATTATACTTATATTTATTTTAGTTATAATATCTATATATTTACAATGTTGGAAATTATTTATTACTTACTCTTAAACGAGTTAAATGTAACATTTTTTAATTTCGATTAAAAAAATTAGTGGCATATGTAATGTTCCTATATTGTAACTGTGACACGATAAGTCGCTCCGTGTCAAATTATCCACGACCTTTGATATCGAATACAACGCAAACCTGGGGCTGATCCAGAACAAGATAACGGGTAGGGAACGGTTTTGAAGGTCTTATAAGGCACACGTTTATGATGAAAATCATAAAGGTTACAAAACTAAGAATATTATATAGATTTGAAAATATATTGGGAACAAACGGGGTGAGGAGAGATTATCCACATTGTACCTCTCTCTCCTGGATCCGCCAATGCACAGACACTTTCTAATTTTGACTTCTTTATCTACTCTAAGCCTCAAAATAAGCTACTTATTATAATATCCACATGTATATAAACGAGTATGGGATAATCGAAGTATTCAAAATGTAATAATATGAAGGTAGGTATACTATATATTTTTTGTGTAGGTACGATAAATCCCGCGTGATGGAAAAGAGGTTTCGACGCGAAAATTCAATAGTAAATCTCGATACGGCCATTTTTATTAAAAATATATCGCACGTTGGATGAGTGTACTCGTACATACGAATGGACGTCCAAAGAATCTAAAACTTAATCTTTTTTTAAAAAAAAAAAACCAAATAAACAACACGATTTATAATGATTTAACGCCGTATATGTAAGTATGCGTATACAAATATTATATAAAACAATTTGATGGTTATTCCCATAAGTTAAATAATAATACTGTAACTGTAAGTTAAAACATTATTTTATGTAGGTAATCGAGAATTTAAACTTTCAATCGTTTCTCAACTGAAAACAGCTATGCCGTTTTTAATGTGTCCATATACGAAAAATGATTAAAACAGACGAGCTAAAATATTTGTTTTATTTGTTTAAAAATCTTCCACCGAGTTGCCCATTAATGGGTGCAAGGGAGTGACATGTCATTATATTGTCAATTGTTTTTTAGGTTATGATAAATTAATGTTTCTTATGATAATGATAAGAAGTACTATGGGAGAATATAAATTGGATGGACTGTGTATGCTCAGTGTTCATATACAAAAAGTTCATCACGACACCAAGTTTGTTGAAAAAGTAGTTGAAAAATTTAGTTCGCAAAAACGCTATTTGCAGTTTTTGTTTTAAAATATTGTTTTTCTTCACATATGAAATTTATGTTTGTTTCGTTATTTAATAAAACCAATTGTGTTGATTTTTAGTTTTTAAGCTTTATTATTTTACGATTATCACCCCCTTAGGTTTTGACAGATAGGCGCCCTTGTGTCCCACTCAGGTCCCGCTATTCGTCCCTCCTATATTTCAAGAACTGGGTACATATTATAATTTCTACTATATTTATTGCTTAATTCAATCCAGGGCCTAGTTTTTGTAATAATTCGTATTACACACTTTTTAGTTAAGACCATAAATGCATGGTCACAAAATAAAATTTGCTCCAGTACCCTTAAATACAGTTATTTCACTAATTTTTTTTTAAATAAATATTTTCAGGTTTCAACTTTATCAAGGAGAAATTTATGATATTGTAAGAAGTAAAGTTAAAAAAAAAAATTACATAATATCAACTAGTTTGTACTTTATGTATACATTATTAATTTAACAAATTTGTTTAAATAACGTTCTTCTGGGTTTAATTCCTTATTCAAAGTCAGTAAACTAATTCTAATAAGCATTAAGATAACAAGTTTTAAAACATCATGATAAATAACAAATTTTAAAATACCTTGTATTTGATCAAATATCTTTGATATACTTATTCTAAATTTATTAAAAAATTAAAAAATATTATAACAAAACATAGTTTAGAAATATTTCTTTATAAAATTATACATTTTATAATTTCGTATTACACACAAAAATAAGCCCTGATTCAATCGCATTAACTTAAGGAAAATTTATTTAAAAACCTAATAAACGAAGTATATATTTTTTATCGTATTATGATATCGAGTCAAATCAATAATAAGGCGGTATTAGACGTACAAATGTATTTTGATTCATTCGTTTAGCTAAAAAATTATAAAATTGCTATACATGTTAATACAAAGTAAATAATACATCGAAAATAACATTATAATATTATTAATACTAGTAATATGATTTAATTTCGTACGCAACCAACGGCGGAACAAATATTTGTATAATGTTGCCATCTTGCAAGAAAACGATTCATTAAGAACTAATATTGAATTTTATTTTTTCAGTGTTGAATTATTTTATAGACCGAACGACACGACGTACCAATATAGTTTATTAAAATCTACGTTTTCTTATTAGTTTTAATTTAATATGTCGTAGATTAATATATTTCTAATATTACCGCCGTTAATATTATTATTGTAATTTTGCAGCTCTTTTTTGACTTAAAAAAATCAAATCAAATATAATAATATTAAAGACGGACATGACTTTTTCAGCGTTCCTTATTCAATTACACTAAAAGGTATATACGCTTTGAGTCACATTATATAAACGAACGATAACTCCGTACGTCTGCAGTAAACCATCACTTTTAACTTTTTAAATACAGAACCGATTCTACAAGGAGTTGACAATACCAGCAATTTTTCTTCCGATACTATATAAACTAAACGATAAATCTCAAAAAAAGGTATTGATTTTACACTGATACCCGTGATGCGTTAAAATCTATAAACAAAAACCATCAAGGTTTACATTTAATATGTACCTACAGTAGGAATATAATAGCTCAACCCCATAAGGCTGGAACATATGATTTGGCTATAATGTTGTAGGTGAAAAATTTGGCCGATATAGAAGAAATACGTTTTATCTATAGAACAATTTTTAGATTCCAAGCGTAGCGAGGGAGTTATAGGTTTTACTAAGTTGTTAATTTGTTTTTCCTTTTCTAGTCTGTAGACACGTTTTTTCTTAGTAAACAAACTTGCTCCGATTTTTACGTGTAGCCACTTTTCTGAAAACTCAAACTGTCTAAATGGTACTTTAAAAAGGGTCATTTGTGATTTTCGACGCCATTATTTAAATAAAAGCACTTAATTGAGAAAAAAACGTAGAAAAACGTACAATTTTACGATTTAATTATTTCATAAAAACACGGACGACGTTTTCAACCAGAAAAAATGATTTAATCGAAAAAGCACAAGATTCCTTTTTTTATTGCCATTTCGATATACTTTCTTACGATATCATTTCCAAAACTTTTGAGCCATTCTTGAGCTTTTAAGGAATTATAATTTTTGGAAGTATTTTTTTTCTGTAATTCGGTTACAAATACACGTAGAGACTTGGTAATAGTACTTATATTGGACTTACTTAGACGTGGTAAAATTTCCAAAATCGTCCGACGACCTTGTTATTTTAACAAGCGTTCTGAAATCAAATTTAAACGAAAATCGCATACAAAATTACGGCACTTTAAATTTTGTATTACCGAACTGCGCTCGGAATCGTGTTTCGTCAAACAATGGTTTATCGTTGCGAGAGCGCGAATTCTTCGAAAGTCACGCATAGAGAGCGCTGCACGGACATACGTCTATCGCCACGCACTATGGTATGCGAATTACTACGGTNAGCCGCCAAATGTCGGTAAGTATATCTCACCCTACCTGGGTACGACAATTCAACGTGGCAGACTGTAGGAAAGCGCAGTCCAACCGGTGGCCGCGTAGTTAGTGGCGTCATTGAACCTACTCGACGAGCCATAGAAACCACTTCTGTAGCATACCTGTGGACAGCTCGTCGACCTCCACTGCTATGCGCTTACGAGTACGGGCTACGGCACCTTGCCTGTAAAGCGGTGTTTCCCGTAAACGGCCGTACGTTCGAACATATTGCCCACGCCACTGTATAATACGTGCATATTGTTTTTGTGTCTTCGTTTGTTTTGTTTTATATTTTTAAGAAATATAAACGTAATTTGTTAGATTCCGAGTGTAGCCAGGGATCTATTATACAGGATACTTAGATGTTTTTTTTTTGTCTAGTCTGTGGACACGTTTTTTCCTAGTAAACTTGCTCAGATTTTTACGTGTAGTAACTTTTCTGAAAGCGCAAGTTGTCCAGATGATACTCTGAAAACGTCACATTGTAAATAAAAGCACTTAAGTGGAAATAGTCGTGCGTAAACGTACAATTCCACGATTTAATCATTTTATAAAAACACGGACGACGTTTTCTACCAGAAGAAATAATTGAATTGAAAAATCACGAGACACCTTTTTGATTTATTTTCTTACATGTTACACATGTAGAGACTTGAAACTTGGTAATACTACTTATATTGGAATAACCTAGACGTGGTAAAAATTTTTAAAATCATCGGACGACTTTTTTTTTTTTTTAATAAACGCGTTGGAAATCAAATTTGAGAGAAAATCGCAAAAAAAAAAAAATACAGCACTTTAAATAATGCAATACCAAACTGCGCTCGAAATCGTCTTTCGTCCAGCAAAGGTTTATCGTTGCTTATACATATAAATGAAATAACCTTATGTATCCTATCTTCCCAACTTCTAACCTACAACAGATTATTGGTATTTTTTAAACATTTTTTTTTTTGGAAAAACTGTTGGTTATTTCAAATGAAAGTTCACTGGGTAAAAAATCTAAGGTGTGATGTGAATATAATTCGAAACATTATTAATAATCATAAAAAGTGTTTTTAATGAAAAGAAAAACAAAAGGTAATATAGAAAATTATAATGCCGTACATATTCCAGATTTTCCAACGTTTTTTTTTTAATTATTAATAAAACTGCTCGAAAATTCAAAAATGCTGACCTCAATGCACCAATTAGATCCTAAATTTCACAAAATTGGTCGCTTGTTATTTGTTGATTAAAGCAAATTGTACACAGATACGAAAAAAAAAAAATAAAATAAAACTTAGCACACGGCGTAGTAAACGAGGAACGTAAAGATACATTCCACGCTCCGCTCAGACTCTAAAAACTATCAATATTAATACTTTTAACAGCTACTAACTATTTAAAAAAAATATCACGGTGAACGTACGGGGTACCAAATACTTACGAGTATTACAAATATTAACCACGAATGTACCTTGTAAAATAAATATTTAATGACAAGAATCCGGTGACCGAAAAAAATATTAAAATCTTTATTACGATTACGTCAGCCATCGCCGTCGTTGAAATGCGTTTTTATTTCCGGACTTGCTTCTCGGATACCTGAATACATTATTTTGTTATTACCGCTGCACTCGTCGAGTCGATCGATTTTTATAACATTATATTATATTGACAGCGGAAACACACCATCAAGTTTTAAAAATCCACCATGTTTTCGAGAGAAAATATAGTCGACGAGACGTAAACAGCATAGAATATAAATATTTTTAAACATCAAAGAGAAATAACATACCTATGTGTGTACATACGTCTAGATAATATACGTACGAATAAAAACGCGGATGAGAAAATAAACTAAAGTCGTCACAATGTATGTTTCAGGTTGATTCAGATAAAAATGTTATAGTGGCGAAACGTTAGGTTTTAATTGGAAACTTAAACCTAACTTTGTACAAGTTTGTACACGTTAATTTGTCTATCCACTTTGATTCCGGTGGAAGGCATAAGCGCCAAAATGAGATAAGAAAAAAAAAGTCATATTGGACGAAAACGCTAAAATCATAGGTAACTGTGTGCCTTTGGGCTAAAATTCTGGATTATGAGGTAATACGGACAACAAATGCAGCCGAATTGGCGCTTATGTGCCTTAAATTTTGGCGCAAATGGTATATCATTTGTCTACGTTTGGCGCTTATGTCATATAGCATTCGATTCGCACGTAAGAAAAAAATATAGGACGTATTTTTGTCAGGTACAGAAAATCTTATTAATAAAAGGCAAAGTATACAATAACACCCAAGACATTCCTGGTAACATTGCGGAACACCTTAGTTTAGAAATTGATAATTTTCTGTTCGAAAGAGCGGCCACAATCTAAAAGTTACATAGGAATAGGATGAAGAATAGCTACCGTAAATCGATGCTACTTTAAGTTGACACCACTTTTTATCTAAACGTTAATAAAAAAAAAAAAAACAAAGGGACATACTTCGCACGATGGGTGGGTTTTAGGTTAGAAGTTGTGAAGGTAGAGGGGAAATTTAATGTATATCTGTAAGTAACGATTAACCGATTGCTAACGATTCAAAGTGAAGTTTGGTTACACATGTTTTGAAAAGACGTAATATAATTTACGATTTGAAAATAATATATTTTGTACATTTTCTCGTTGTTCCTACGTTTTTTACTGGATTTTCCCATTTATTATGAAAACTTTTGAGAAAATCAAAAAATGACCTTTACCATCCTAGTTAGATTTTCTTTTAGAAAAAGTGCTACACTTGAAAATTCGAACAAATTTCTAGGAGAAAAGTTGTTCACCAATAAAAAAAAAACATCATTGCAAAACCAACACATTCTTCATTTTGCTCAGAATCTAAAATGACATTTATAATGTATTAGTAAAGGTTAGGTCAGTGACGTGACTTAATACGCTCGTAGATCATACGAACAACGATGAAGACTGATGAAAAAAGTTTAAGCGTTTTGAAAATAAAAATATTAAGAATAATCTTTAGACTGAAGAAAAACTGCAATGGGTTTTGGGAAGTGACGAGCACAAATGAGGGAGCAGGAATAATAGGAGTCCTCAAAAGCGGTCAAGACTGGGGTGGGCCATGCAACGGATATAAGTATATCGACATCTGAAGGATCACTCGAAAAAATAACGAAATGGAGATCAGATATGAGATACTAAAAGGTCAAGAATAGAAAGGTATTTGGACAGAGTAAGTGAATAAATTTAAGATTGCTAGACATGGTGGTCAGATGTAGTTAGAAGGAGATGAACGTACTGTCGACAGGTAGCATAAAGAAATTTTTAGAGCACGTGGAGTAGCAATCACCCACCTTTTTTTCTTTCCGAGGATTTTAAAAGATTTTTTAAGCTTCCCTGTGATACCACTACACCGGTAATCTACACATCAAATCACCCTCGAAAACGCATACAGTTGCGTTACACTCGTCTGTTCAGTGTGTGTATTATTTACCATGGGAGGTAAACGCGTCGTCACGGCAATATACCTAAAGGGTTTCTAAAAATCCCAACAACGATGCACATAGTTGAGCCGAAACCATCAGTCAAGGTCGGCGATTGCCTCCCTTCTTTTGATAGGTGGGTGGTGGTGGATCCCTGGTTAGTACCTGAGCCATATTTTTTTATCGAATTGGTACGTAGGGAATATTAATTCAGAGTGTTGTATGGGAGTTTGTTTTGTAAACAAAGGTGGTGATCTACCCACCTTATTCTTAAAACATGGTTCAGCGCCACTGGATATACACACGATTCTCTAATCGTCTCTACGTGAGCTCGGTTAATTTACCAGACAATTTACGTACATTTTACCGAGATGTTTTTTTTTTACCGTTTATAAAATCGAATAACTCCGTTTTTACTAGTCTTATAACTTGTTTACAATAAAATTATTGAATAATATTACTATCTAAGGACATAAATGAATACACATGCAGTGTACTGTGTAATTGGTGTACACAGAAACACATGTTAATGAAAAATTTGTTGGTTTTAAAGTTACAGTTTGTGTTATAAAATATTTTCTGTTTTGAATAAAATAAGTAGTTAGAACATCAATTAGTTTTTAATTATTATCTTATTTAATACAATTATGATTTTTCCTATGAACAATATGCTCAGGAGTCGAGACATAAGGAATTTACCAATCTGCCGAAAAATGTTTTACCGGTAAAATCCACATCTCTACACACGATACACTCATTCGAAACATTGCAATGCGAATATACTTTATAAGTCTTATCAATAATCTACACAATCGGTTTTACGCGAAATATATCTCTCAAAACGCGGTACAAAATAACGGTTGTTTCGATATGGAATATCTTTACTGAAATGTTGAGTTTGAATATTTTTGCGGTATCTTCGTGATATCATTGCTATAATATAATACAATACAATGAGGCGCATTTATTAACAGTACACTATAGACGCATAAGTACGCGAAAGTTTACCGCCCCCCTCTCACTAGTAAAAAAAAGCGCACAAATAGATAGAAAAAAAATAAAATGTTTAAATCAATGAAATATTGTCCGATGGAAATACTATTTATAGCGATATTTAATCAATTGTGAGTCGTACGTTTAATAAATGGTCAACAATTCACCGGTGGTCGCTGAATAAACATAATACCGACGCCGTAAAATTACAAAGTTAAGAAACAAAAAAATATATGAAAACAGTTTTTCGAAATCAATATTTATCCATGTTTGTTTCTATTGTATTGCGTTATCGGGTAAAATTGAGCAGGAAAACACGTAGACGTCATATACTTTTAGAAGTATAACATACGGCAAATGATATATTTTATTAAAATTTAAAAGTGCTAAAAAAAAAATATGAAAAAAAAAACTGACTACTCTACACTATACAGCAGGTTACACACCACACGATGTCCACCGGAGATTGTTTTTTATTACACATTTTTATGCGCCGGGTAAGTGAAGAAGCCTTTTCTTAGAGAAAAAAAAAGCGCCTATTTATGGCATTTTAATTAATGAGTTACTACTTGAACGCGTGGAACGGAGAAGGCTGCACGGGCCCTAATGGCTTTTAAAGGTGAAAAAACTATGTATATTGACATCATATAGTTATTATTTAATTATTGTACCTGTATAATTAAAACGGGGAATGCAGTTTTTTTTTTTTCTTAACGCGATTTCCTATTTTATGACTTCGTCAGACGGCAATTTCTATGTCGTTACTATTCGTTTAAATGCAGGCCTACGTCATAGGGCCTTATACGCACATTTCGCATCTATAACTCTGAAAGAATAGCGATACAATTGAAAAATTACGACTTTCGAGTTATCACTAACAACACATGCAGAATATCATCGTTTATAGCATTTAATATGTCGGAATTTATTAATCTATTCAATATTAAAGACATTATGGGCTCGGATGTCTTTATTTCTGATTAAAATAAAATATAGTTTCCAGCGTGAATATTGACACTTATGAGATGTGACTTTATTCTGACCTGACTTATGTTGTTATACACATTTTTTTTCTAGCTAAAATACAGCCGTAACTCAAAATTAACAATTTCACGCGGGAAAAATTTTAGAACATTATGAAACATTAAAAATCGATTCGTCGGAATTTTTATATGTTGATTTGTGTCATTATTTTTTCAGAGGTGTGATATTCATGTGCCTATTGATTTCAAATTAGTATGTCTCACAGTTATTTAGTTTTAATCATAATATAGACATACATTTTTTCGAGAGGAAGTATACTATAACATTCCACGTGATTCCAAAATAACACTCAAAGTTAAAAAAAAAAATATTGTGAATTTTTAGTTCTAATAAAATTATTTAAATAAATAAAATACGTAATACTATATTATGGTTTTACATAATGGCAACATAATATGGTATGAACGGGCAATGATAAATATATTATGCATCATGACAAATTGGTTTTGTTTTTTTTTTTTTATTATTATTATTATTATTATTATTATTATTTGACTATCTAAAATATTTGAAAGTACACGGAGTACTATACCCGCGATTTTTCAGCAAAATGTTAATAGTGTATAGCGTATATTATGTAAAATATCCTATGGGAACATCACTGAATATATAAATAGGTAGTCATTATATTGTCTACATTATAGTGCGTCGGAATATAGGTAAAGTTTTCGAACAAAAAGTTTCGGAAAAATCATATTTTAGAGAGGAAAATACGTATACGATATTCGTTTAGGAATAAAATCATCATTTTCAGAGAACACCTATAATTTCATTAGGTATGACGTTTATAGTAAATCAACAATAATTTTGTTAGTTTGCCAGTATAATATACATATCAAAAATAATATTCAACAACATCGGAAACATGAGTTATTAATTATTATTTAACTGAATATTATGAACGCCGATATTTTAATTTCAAACAGAATTCATATTTATAGTTTTCTCTCTATTTTAAATGGCGAAAAATCATTTGTTTAAGATAGTAATATTATATTAAATTCCTAAACGATGATTTTGCTCAAATTCGGTGTGTTCTAACAAACTTGAAACTCAATGTTCTAAAACATGGCATGATGACTCGAGCACAATGCTAGTATATGCTCTTCGTGTAAAATTCAAAACTTTACAGGGTATGAGCATTTGAAGCTTTTCAGCCGTCTTGCTCTAGCCCGCGGCATAGTCAAACAAATCGAAAACTAATACGTCTTGATAAATATTAAACTCTCTCTTTCTCTCTCTCTTTCCGGAATCTTTGCCACTAACACCAGCTAATACCTACACTTAATAAAACAATACCGATCAATACGATTCTCGTTGTATTAGCCTGTAGATATTTTAACAAAAGTATATCTACAAACGTAAGCAAGTATTATGAATTGTGCAAGAGCGCTCCCAGGGTGTGCCAGTGGGGGCTATGGACCTCCCCGCTAATTTAGTCAACATTAAATATTAATTGTTTTATTATTGCATGGCTTAAATATTTAAGTCATGATGACTTGTAAAAAAAAGTCTTATACTTTTGAATTTTAACCTACCCCCCCCCACAGTTAATATTTCTGCGGGCGTCCTTGGAATTGTGACGATAGTATTGATAGTAAATCCAATTGTATGCCTATTATAATTATGCTACCCTTTTTTATAGGTCCACAAACACAAGACCTCTGAAAGCGTGGACCCTGTATGTAAGCCCCACTTGCCCTACTCCTACTAACAAATTTAATAAACATATATATATATATAAATTATGTATTTATGTATTTATTTACGTGTATTAACCATTTAATAATTTTGTTTTTACTTTATTATTTTATTATAAATATAAATGTAATATATTTGAATTAGTTGAATTATTTTGATCTAATATGCGTCGTCAATATACTATAGTTACATAATATCGCAAAATGTCAGAGTAACTCATTAACAGTAATCACTTACTAAATTATTCACAAACAACGATTGATAACAACAACAAAAACCCGGGAAAATATATAAACACTTTCATCCTTGTTCGGTGGTAGTATAATGAGATTAATATATTGTTTATATTATCAATTAAATATTATGAACCCAGCTGATTATAAAACCATAACTGCGATAAAAATATTAATCTGTAACCGCAGATATATAAAATACAAACACGGTCTGTAATCTGTAATACGAATATCGTGGAAAATGATAACGAGCCAAAATAATGTTTATTGATTATATATTTATTTATTTGATTATAATATCATTAAATTTCAGTTAAACGGGAAACTTCATATTACCTAAAAAAAAAAAAGATCACGAAGGGGTATCTATTCCCCAAATCCTCCCCCGTGAGACCGCCCATGGCCCATGACCGTATACATTGCGGCCGATGGCGGGCGAATTTATTACCGACGTTCGTTCGATTATTCGTCGACTGTAATTTATTTATCGCATCTACGGTTTTCGTCCGACCGAACAGATGTAATATATTTTGGAAATTTCGAAAAGATGAGAGAGGGGAAAAAAACAACAAGAGAATGTACGGAAAGCGACGATTTTAGAACTATCGTCGTACATGCGGTGTATGCGTATGTCTGTGTGTGTGTGGATTTTTTGATCGTCGCTACACGCCGGAAAATAAAAACAAACTCGGAATACGTTTCGATTTTCAAACGGCGGACCTAAATATATTATAAGGATCCCCGAGAACCGTATTATATATAATATAAATACGAGTACATAATATTATTGCGTATATGTTTATATTATAACGCGGTACGTGATATCGAGTAAATACTTTACTACCGCAGTAACCGTTTAAAATTTAGACTCGGAATAGGCGTGATGGAGATCAGCCATACACAGTGTGTATATATTATGTATATATATATATGTGTGTGTGTGTGTGTATTACATACATGTATACAGAGAGACGGCCGACGAACGAAGACGTCGTCGTATTTACATTTTCGGCGCCCCGGAGCATCGGTTTTTATTGCCGAATAAAAAACAATCAGCGTCCTGTAAATTTATAGCCCGGAGCCCGCGATAGCTGCACCGTTGCCCACTTAAAAATAAGCCTCCGGAAGTATGTATAAAAACAAAATGAACCGTCTTATACATGACGGTTTATGCGCATACGAGTGCGTATTATTATTATGTACGTATATGCGCGATAAACCACAAACGGGATAATAATATGTACATACATATGTATATGTATATGTTCTATGTATATGGTACGCCTGGTATAATAATACGCTCACGCGATCTATGAGTTCTGCAGTGGCGGAGTTTAAGGGGGCACGCGGCCGCTAAAACGCCCCCTTAATTTTAACCTCCCAACGTCCCCGAGATCCTATACCTATATTATACCGATTTGAAATAAATCCGGATTATCCGAAAAATCGAAATGATTATTTATTAATTCAAATCCAGACCATCAATCATATTATGTGCGTTATACTTTTTTTTTTATAAATTGTTAAATAGATGATAAGTTTTTTTAACATTGTAAATATAATATATATTTTATATACTTTTAAAGAATTTTTAGTTCAAGCGAATTAATTTTAAAAAAACTGGACACGCTTCGAACCCCGGGTAAGTTGTAGTTTGAGAGTAGAATGTTTGAAAGGTATACAGGCTATACAGACTACAAGATGATTTAGTTTAAAATATATCGAAAGCCATCAAGAAATTGACATAGTGAAGCCTACGTACTTTGTCGTAACTTGTTGTCATTTATTTTAAAAAATATTGTAAATTTTTTACCCTAAACATTTTTTTTTGAATATACATATAAATTTACCACCGGGTAAATTATAACCTTAATCTAACCTTTAAGATACAATGTAAATATTTTTACTAACCGAAAAAGTGTCTTGGGAGAAAAATCGATAGTGATTACAAGATACGCGCGTACGAATAAACCGCCGGAAAAATAAACAGTGGCGTGGCGTGCCCAGGAATCGCTGAAGGATGTAGACGTAGTAAATAATAATCACGATTTATTATTAAATCGTGGGATCTCCTTCGCTGTTTGTCCCTCACTGCAATGGCAGATCCGAATACTGAAGGGAGCAAAACTCTTTTGTACAACAATAGAATTTAGTACATATATTTTAACACAATGTAAAAAAAAAAACGTCGTACTATATTTTTTTTTTTTTGAGGGGGGGAGGGTTGATTGTCTTCTCCTAAATCCGCCACTGTACCTGCCTAACGCGACAACGAGCGTTCATAAAAGCCGGATCGAAAAAAAGTCAATTTTTATTCGACAAATTAAGCTTTTTCTTCTCCGTAATTTGGTTTGAATATAAATAATTTCGAAATAAAATGACTAAATATAATAGTATAAATACACGCTGTGTAAAGTGGTTGTATTTTTTAAACCAATGGCTGAAGGAGTATTGTCCCTAACCTCTACCTCCCATACATACTACAGTAATCTACAGTAATATAATCTAACGATAAATATATATATAAAAAAAAAACTCGGAAGCGAAAATAACGCGAACTTTGTCTCTCGCATATATTGCAGTAGAAACACTCACGTGAAACCGAGGTATACAAGGTGCGATTACGCGATTATCTTATGTATTATATTCCGAGTACACAAGTCCCTTCCCCTCACGAGTTGTGCATTACAATATTTAAAACACGCTTAAAGGTTGAAAAACAGAGACGAAAATAATATCCTCGCACTTAAGTAAGTGCTAAAGGGTAAGGGTTTTATTGCGATAGGACTGTCGAATATTATAGACACTATATATTGTTATATCGACGTCGGCGAGTCGTTTCCCATTGCTACCGTTGTTTACATTCTATACAGGGTGATTTTTTTTTTTTTATCTCGATCAGCGATTATAATATTATCTATATAAAAAGAGATTTCGAGTAAAACTGATTTCGAATCATTTTTTTTTTCAGTCATTATATAATAACTCAGTTTGAGAGGACGTGATACCCATAATAACCCTTATATTTACTGTTTCATCCCAACTAACGGGCGATAATTAACAAAATTAGCTACAATATTAGTATAATATATACCTAAAAGTGTGGTGTTTAGGTTGAAATTGTTCAATTTGTCACACAAAAAAGTTACAGCCACCTGACAAACTTAAGTTTGTTTTCAAATAGCCGTTAACTTTTTGTATGATACGGTTTTTTTTCAGGTGAAATATATAAGTCGAGAATATTCTCCTTTTTAAATTTACTATAGAATATATCATTTATGATTTAGATAAAGTATTCTCTTTTCGACTGTGTGTTAAAAAAGAGTGAAGTGGTGGGGTTGTATATTAATATCAAAAGTTGATACTATATGTTTTCGGTTTACAGAACAAGGGTAGAATATTGAAAACATTGTAAATATTAGTCAAATAGCCCATGAGAAGGGGTAATAACTTTTAATTAATATTTTTAATAAATTGTTTTAAAATTTTAAACTTAGACTTAGAAGTGTAAAAGTTTATTATCACGTAACTACTTAGTTTGCATTACGCATAATTATCGGCTTACTGATATGCACATAAATTATTAAATGGTTGCATACATATTTGATCCCAAAACAACTTACATTTAAATAAAAATAACGAATATTCTACTAGTATACGAGTATAATGAATTTCATAATTTGAATTAAGATACCATTTCTCTGAAAACTTGTAACCTAACAAAGTCAATTAAGTTAACTTACCCAAATTAATTTATAGAATAAAGTTAACATTAACTTAGCTTTATTTTTTTTGTTTGCACTTAACGTAAACAGTATTAAGAAAATTGGTTAACTTGCTGAAGTTTTAAAATAGATGTACAGCTGAATTATAAAGATGAAAAAAAAAATTGACCGCTTCTATAATTTATGAATACAATATTCGTATGTATGTATAAATATATCTCATCGAAAAATAATGTTTTTAATTTGTATACAAGTACAAGGTATTCATGTTTTATGTTTTTTTTTTTTTATCCCACTCGTTTACTTGTTGTACGCTCATTAAGGAGAATCTCGAACTCACTAAAATCTCGAGCGTCTCATAACAGACTTTAACTCGTATTAAACCCTCTTAAACGATGGTACGTTTGCCGTTAAGGTATAACATATAAAAAAGAAAAAAAAAACCATCGAAAAGTATACTTATAGGTAGCATACTGGAGAGGATGCTACTATTTTATTAGCGCGTGGTCTTTCCTGCAACGGTGAAATAATAAAAATCTCGCCCGTATTTTCATATTATCACAACGGATTTTAAAATAACATCACCAATACCTACAGTACCTACTTTTTGGGCTGTTATTCTTTGTTTTAACCATTGAATCTCAATCGTTTTATGACAGCACAACGTTTTAGAAGCCTAAAATTTTCTTTATCTTTCGTACCGATAATTGTCCAAGTTTCTCAGCCACACTCCATACGGCATACTCTTTCGGGAACATTTTCTTTATCTATAGGGTCACGCTATTTGTGAATATATTATTATCTCGGGCTGTACAAATATTTTAGATCAGAATCACACGCGTGTAACCAAAAATTGTATTGTACTATATTAAGGAGACCGAAACGAAATGACAAGTGGCAGGAACGCAATATAATATTATATGTTTTATTTTTACCAGCGTCTATTTCTGTCGCTCCGCTGTCGTAGTCCACACGGAGGTTTAGTTACACGTGTCTATACACGCGTGACGAAGGCACAATACTTTCGGGGGTTTTTTTTTTGTTTTTTTATGATAACGTAACGAAAATACGGATAAGGAAAAAATAGTATATTCACGCGAAACTTTACAGCCTTCGTGCTCACCGTCTATACGTACCTATACAGCTATTACCTACTGTTTAATACCTATTATACGTTGGCACTCGACTTCGAGGACAATGATCTGTAATATCGATTGGAAAAAAAATACAAAAATAATACTAATAATACAAATTAAATAGCTCGTAGTGGCACGCACACGCGCGATCGGTTCAGTAGTATCAATACGAAGCGCCGAACCGGAAATCCTGATAAAAAAAAATTTACATTTTTAAGCGAGTCTCCGAAATTTATCTGTACGAGGCACATGGCACCGATATAATATTTAATATTAAATTAATAATACAGGGTATTTATGTTTTTATCGCGTAGCAGTTGAATCTGTACGAAAGTCTCGAGTAAATTTGCATTTATCAAAAAAATTAATTATTTTTTCCCTCACTTAGAGCGTATATTAACATCAATCATTTCACATATGACTTATAGAAATAAAACTCGGAATAAACGAAAAAACACACGTATTTTAAATAGGAAACTTTATCCTGTTATAAGAAGACTTGATAACTGTCCCAGGAACCTAAAATAGAGTTCAATATTTATGATATTTATTTTAGAATAAATATAGGGGGCGTCAAAACAAGAATTCCGCCATCGCCCATTTAAGAACCACCCTAACACGTACTATACGCAATTACGTATAGTAATTTTCGGGCCCCGTTTGCAAACGTGATCCAACCTCCTAACCTCTCAATCTATTGCAATCTGTACGACGGATTTTTATCTTTAATCTTTATCTTTTATTTTTATTTATTTAGCTTCAAACTCCCAGCCCGTTAAAGTACATAGGGACACGTTCGCGCATATTACCGTTTGCTGCGCGACGCACTCCAAGCCTTCGGCGCAAGGCCTGTGGGTCACGTCGCATTCCAGCCCTTCGCCATTGCCGCACACACCGTACGGGCAACACGCGCACCCGTCCGGCACCAGGCCCAGCGGACAGGCGTGCCGGTCCCGCGGCGGACACCGGACAGAGGAACAAGCGCCTTCCGGACACCGCGACGAGCGGTTCGAGGCGCCCGAGGACGGCGTGCAGCAACACAAAAATAGCACGACGACGGCGAAGCGACGGAACGCCGGGGACGACATCCGAAACGAAAACACCGTGCGAGGACGACGACGAGGACGACAACGAAGACCGTCCATGGTACTCGGGCAGAAAACGACTGTCGGAGTACCCGTATCCGCAGAGACGTAGTGCGGTGATGGCCGTATATTATAATACGTATACAGGGTGTTTCCGGGCGATCCCCGACCGTTTGCACCGGGACAATAAAAGTCGTAAATTACCGTGCCCGAATTTGTGCGCGGGTTGAATTAAAACAACAGTATAATAGACGGAGGTATAATAACGCGCGGAGTTAGCCGTCTATACGCGACCGGACGTGAGCTTGATCGCGAACTCGAGTTTATCGTTTCCAAAAAATATAATATTACTATTAAAATATTCCATAGTTTTGTATACGATTTCACGCTGTATACGCATTTAATACATATTATGTGTGCGTATAAAATTGTTTGTTTTTAGTGATTTGACGCATCCGGTACGCCGTCAGATATACCGACAGATGTTAACGTGAACACGCGGTCCAAAAGGTCAACGAATCTTCTTGGATGGACTAAACGTACAAAAAAAAAAATAAATAAAAACAAAAAACCAAATATCACTTTGCCTGTTTATATTCCGGACAGGCCGTCGTGAACGATTTGGGTTAAGCGGCAAATTTTGAGCCGTTTTTTTTGGTATGAGGACGTGTATAAAATCGCCACGTCTGCAATCGAAAATCAAGCGTTTTCAAAAAAAAAAAACCGGCAAAAACGAGTGATGTCGAGGCAAAGGGTAAAAACCCTCGCGGACACCTTTTTTTTCATAAGTATGAAATGCAATATCGCGGACGGATTCCGGCGGGGAGACGGTTGCAGTTATGGATTTTCGAACTACCCGGAGCCGCGACGACGACGGCGACGTTGAGGTTTGATCGGTCACGAGGGACTACGTATTCTGATTGTATACGTTTTTTTTTCTCGTACGTTCTGTAGGTGTAGGAAAAAAAAATACTTTCACCGTGTATTAAATCTACTCGAATCCGGTACCGAATGCAATAAATTAACAGATGGCACGAGCAGAGTATACTGCGATAATAACAATTTACCGAAAAGGGCTCGAAAAAATAAAAATCCTTCTCGTATAATTTATAATATGTCGCGGGACCCTGTAACTCGGTCATAGGTTAGCCCGTGCTGGCGATGTCCGCACGGTACGCGGTCTCGCATATTATACCGGTGACGTATCGTGGACGGGGCGAGTTGATGGTCGCTGCCGCATACCCGGGGACACTCGGCACATTCTCCACTGGAGATTTCCAGCCGGGTAAACGCGCGTGATACCGACCGCCGGTCGTCGGGTCGGAATTTGCACGTCCAAAACAATTGTTGTAAAACAAAACAAAAAAAAAACAAAAAGGTACTCGCAAAAACGACGCGACGACGGTCAGGCGACTCGTTAGTTACGACGACGGTCCAACGAAAATGTCCAGTAAATTCGATTTCGGGTTTTTTTTTTCAACCGCTCGTTTTTATACGGGGTGTAACAGGATTGTTTGACAGGTGTAATAACTAAAAAAAATCGAACCTTTTTTTTTCCCATTTTCCCCCGGTGTCCTTTCCAATTATAATAAGATAACTGCACGAAGAATCATAAAACAACTTCCTGTTGCGTTAAATTGAAAGGAAGGAAATTTCTAAGAAGAATTTATGGTTCAGTCTTCGATAATCAAATCAAAGAATGAAGAAAATTATATAATACTGAACTCTAAAGACAATTTCAGAAGTCAGATAATAGTCAGAGAGATAGCTAGGAAGAGATTTATGTGGTCTTGCTACGCCTAGCGTAAGCAAGGATCTTTAGTTAAGCGGGTGATTGAGGAGGACCCTATACGGAGAAGACCATTAGGGGGGCCAAAGTTAAGGTAGAAAGCCTGTGTAAAAAAGAACATCAAAATGATAGGACCGGAAATTAATTGGAAAGAAGCTGTAGAAGACAGGAAAAGATGGCAAGGTTTATGTTTAGCGACGTGGTGTTGAAGATCGGAGTCAAGAAGAAGAAATAGGTAATTTGAATAATAAAACAAACATTTAAAAATGTAAATCAAACAAATTCACAGCATTCGCATTTTGATATTTTGGCAAAAGATAAATGCTGAAATGTCTATTTTTATACTTAGAGTGATAACAATGTACTATTTCTCCAGCCCTTCTCCCCTCCCCCCAAAGTTTTTTTAAATTTGTCTAAAAACCATAATTGCACAAATTTCACACTAGTTATTGGGGGGAGGGGGAAACAAAACGATTTTCCAACTTGGAGGGCCTGGTGAAATCTACGTGAAACCAATACTGGGCTCGGAATCCAAAAAAAAAAAAACCGATAATAATATTACAGCTCGCGGTAAATATCATTTGCGAACAATAATATAGAACCTTATATTCATAATAATGACGATGGCCGAACGGTCGTGCCAAAAGCGAATCGGCTCTTTTAACACGGACTCTTGTGTTATCGTACGCTGTTTGTTCAGGCTCGAAATATTATAAATCACCCCATCCTATAGTGTAATTATCAATATACCTGATAATATCGTGATCGTAAAACGTCGTGTATTACAGTTTTTATTATCGTCCGGAAACGACGACGGGATCGCGTCGTTACGCGAGACCGAACAAAAGCCGAGCGCGAAGACTTTTCGGAAGACAACCGTACAACACGCAATACATTAAACTAGTGATGCCCAAACCTTTATTTCTTCAACTGGGCAATTTGATGAACAATTATCGTTGAGCGGGCCACAAATTAATATAAAAGTATACGAATAATATCTCATGTATCGTTTTAATTTCGTTTAATATACTATAACTATAACACAATTAATCAATTAATATATAGGTTATTATAATATAATTATTATATAATTTTTGTTATACATAATATAGGTATACGTGTACTCGTATTTTGGACGTTTTTTTTTTCTTATCTTTTATCGACTGTTGAAAATACTACGGATTGAGGTAACAGCTATTATTAATTTGATCAGTACGCTCTTTTAAGTGCACGGGTGATATCGATATTAAATCGTAATATTTCCATTTTAAAATATTTTCACACGAAGATTTCCCTGAGACATTACGATAAAAAAATGGCACTGTATCCGACTCGAAGTATATTGTTTGCGAACAGATATTTTCATGAAATAAACAAATCAGTTCATAGATCGCGACTTACGGATGAATACCTTCATTCAATGTTGAGGACTGAAACCACTAAATTTCAACCGGAATTGTAGTTATTATTAAGTGAACGAAACGCAATCTCGAATTTCACATTAAAAATAAGTGTAAAATATGTTTAAACAATTTTTAGATTCTAAATGGAGCGAAGAATGTTATTGGTTTAACAACGATGTTTATTTATTTGTTTTATGTGAACACTTTTTCTACCAGAAGGCATATTCCGATAGTCAATTTTATCATCTTTTCTAAATGGAAATGTTCTCTGGATGGTACTTTAAAGAGGTCATTTTTTGAAACTCTTATTAATATTTGAGATAATGAGAAAAACCTCGATCTTTGGGTTAAAAAAGATTGAAAGATTAAAAATAAAGTTGTCATTGGCAACTGTTTTTATTTAATTTTGTTATTATTAAGTTTTTTTTATTTTAATCTTTTTTAAAAAATCATGGAAACGCACATTGTTGTAATCATTTTACCATAATATGATTTATATCATAATATATTGTATTGTTGACAAAACAACACTATCAATTGAACTCCGTTCAGAATCGCTTTTTCGTTAGCAATGGTTTATCGCTGCTTACAGATATACATTAAATTCCCGTCTGTATCTTATCTTTCCATCTACTCACCTACAACAGTGACTATACCCACGTGCAAAGTTTTTCCGTCTTTTTTAGTTTTATTATTTATCATCATTATTATTATTGTTTTTTGGGTTATACATATATATAAAATAATTTATAAATTAATAGAAAAAAATTGTTGTATTTTGAGATAATTTTACATTTTTTTTAAAAAAATGTTTGTATTTTATTTTTTAAATTTTTAATGGATCACATGGAATACCTTTGCGGCTCATATTGGGCACCACTGTAATAAACCGAGCCTTTCTATACGGCACTTTGTTCGGCACCGAGCGGTCCGTATTTCGAGTGTTTCGCGCATATATATATCGTATACGGTATTATGACGGTCCGTTTGAAATCGTCGTCGTTCGGATTGTATATAGTACCTTATTCGAAAAGAAACGTTTTTATACACTTGCTATAATAACATAATATGTGAGGTGATTTTTTTTTTCTGTCTAGAATTCGGTTTAAGAAATAAAAATCCCTCCACGAAAACGCGAAAATCCATCGTTGCGCCACCGGTAATAATAATTGTTTAAGAGGTCCGCGCGTAAAGTTTCAAAAAGAATTTCAAATTTACCGACACGAAAATATTCGAATAATTCCCTCTGTCGTAAACATTAAATATCCGTCTCGGACGCCTGAACTTGATGAAACAGAATACAATACCTACCCGATACGCTTTTAAACTGATTTTACAATTATTCGTATTCGTGAAAATTAAACGCAACACCGTTAACTGTGGGGTAATCGTCACGATAATAAAATTGATGTTTAATTTATTTAAACGAAACGGTAGATTATTTTCCACCTTTTTTTGTGAATTAAAACGGATGTCAGTACTTAGATTAGATCGTGTTCTTTAATTTCTATGCTGTTTTGTTCGTTAAACCGCACTCGTTTCGAGATAAAACGATTTTGCGACACAACATTTGTATGTTCAATAAAACGATAAAAAACTGACGTTCTCTTTTAACTTATCTATATTGCAACTAGCGACGCAGATATGAATTACCTGTCAATACATTACAGTGAAAGTAAGTTGTTCCCTGAAAACAAAATGTATAATTTGAAAAAAAAAACAAACAAAAACTAATACACAAATTAAAAGAGTATATTTTTGAAAATAACTTTCAAAAAAAAATATTAGACTGTCGAGTTCAAGTTTTTAGATAGGCATTAATCTAACGAAAAATCGGTATACTTACCGAAAATATAGGTACGCTGTTGTTTTTTTGACATAATATTTTTATCCGATTAATGATCTATAATATCGGGCCCGATGCCAGCGCATTTTTTGGCTCAAAAACATGCCTCACGGGAAAACCTCTCAGGTCTCGTAGAATGGTCCGACTTTGATGATATAATTTTTGTTGACGCTGGTAGAGGAAGTTTTCCTCCGTTTTTTAATATTTTACTCTCAAACTTGATAATGTGTCTATAAAAAGGTCAATTTTAAGATTTATTTTTACTCGTTTATACCGTCAATTAAAATTAAATAAAAAGCCGGAGTTCAACACGGGCTATAAATTATTGTTTAAGAACTAAAAAAAGCGTAATATAAAAATATTAAATGATCTGAAAATGATTTATTCCTATATAATATTCTTGTCAAGTATCATATAGAGATATTCATCTGTAAAAACGCCGTACCCTTATTACCACTTACCCCCTAAATGAGTGTCTTGGGCAGTAGATTAAAGAACAAGTTATTTAGACGATGGTTATTAGAATTTTGAAAATAATTTCAATAATTTAAAGTTTTACAAATTTAATATTACAGATATTGGTACTTTGTACCATGTAGAACAATACTGTAGATGGGAAATTTGGAAAGTATATTATAGGACATAGGGGTACCTACCATACATAGTTTAAAACATACTGATAATAACGATAAATAGTCTCAATCGCAAAACGATTCAGAGTGGAGCTGATAATGAACAACACAAATAAAACCAACGTGTCGTCATATTTTAATATTATTGTTTTTTCAGTTCTCTAACAAAAACTGTTGGAATAAAGTACAGCCGGGCGATAAATCCGCATATTTTACGGTATGATGTGAACACGATTCGGAGGGTTTTTATAAACTAAAAAAGTGTTTAACGATAAAAAAAAAAAAAAAAATTATAGCACGCGTATCAAAACCAGTATATTATAACGTCCCTCGCTACACTCGGAATCTAAAAGTACGTATACATAATACAGTCATAATGTACCGATATTATACTCGTCCGGTCAACTGCGGTGTTTTTAACGTTCGATTTTCAACTGAAAATTTATAGTCGTTACGCATTAAATATATTACATATTATGTTATTACGTTGGTCGAGTTGGGATTGCACGAAAATCCGTATATTGTATATAATATACCGAAGAGCGACGAACAAACAAATTAAATAAGTATACAGCCGAGTTTTCGAAAGCAATATATTATTATCTTGAAAACGAAAAGTATATTATTTTTGAGATTACGTCGTTCGGCTGTATTGAAAAGTTTCGCGACCAACTTTCTGTTTTTTTTTCTTTCTAATTTTATTTTTACCTAAACAATATTATTTGATTCACGTTTATGAGTTTTCTCCCCGGTTTTATTCAATCGAGTGTAATGTCAATAAACAATGTTTCATATCATTGATGAAAGTTACGTAAAGAACGTTTTTTTTTTTTTATTTTTAATTCCAATTGAATATTTTATACACTATATTATATTACACTATGTTATTAAATTACATTCTCACCCCCCTCACAACCGTTAGAAAATACCGTTAAAAGACTCTTAAAGACGAAAATTAATATTTTTTTTTCTAATCGGACGTAATAAATATAAAAACAACATCTATGGGCAGTTCAGCGCCGTCACTAGAATCAAATTTAACCCCTATCGACTCATTACCATTACAGTATTTCATATTTCACTGAACTAAAATAAATATGGTTGCCGAAGTTTTATTACATTTTACTAAATAAGGGTATTTGAAACCAAGTATATCTTATGAAAACATTTGACCATACAAAATGGTAAAAGTTATGGAGGTAATAATTAAAGTTGAAACAGGCACTTATTTTATATTTATATACCATGCATTTACAAAATTGTAACCACCTGGCTTCAATTGAAGATTTTTTTAGGTGTATAAAGCTAAAAAAGCGCTCTCCTTCTGCAGTCATTGGTGGTTCAAAGACCAGGAAAAGGGGAGAACGTGGTAGGTGGATTCAAGAGTGCCCATTAGTAGGTACAAGGGAGTGACATGTCATCCCTTAGAAAAATTATATTGTCATTATTTTTAGTTATAATAAATTAATTTTTCTAATGATAATGGCAAGAAGTACTATGGAAGAATATAGGTTGGATGGACTGTGTATGCTCAGTGTTCATAGAAACAATTTTCACCACGACATCAAGTTTGTTGAAAAAGCGCAATTTACAGTTTTTGTTTAAAATTTTTGTTCACATATACAATTTATGTTTGTTTCATTACTTAATTAAATCAATTTTGTTGATTTTTAGTTTTTACATTTATTTTTTATGATTGTCATCCCCATAGGTTTCGATAGATGGGAGCCCTTGGGTGGATTGCCCCTCCTCTTGACTTTGTTTTTGTTTCATTTATAACCACAACGTAGTTTATAATAAATAGTGTACTTTTATTATTATCCTATATGGTGGATACCATATAGGATCTTGTCATTGCAGTACCTATTGTCAAAATACTCAAATTAAAAAATGACACTAAACGTGTGACTAGTTACTTTCTTTTTTTTATTAATAAATAGGTATGTTTTGTGGTAAAAGATAATTTCTTTCTTTAGTTTTTTTCCTGATCATATAACTTTTATGTGATAAGGTATACAATAAATAGTGATACCTACAGTTTTATAGTTTGTGATAATCATAGTATCACATCAAATTAATTATCATGTATCCTTAAAAATGGGACGAAGAGAAAATGAGATTTATAAACAAATTCGAAACTTGTAAAGAACCGTCCTTACCCGCAGTAATATCGTGCATTTTATATTGAAATTCAAAATTGTTTTAGTTAGATTAGTTTTTAAAACAACTTTAATTTTAGATTTTGAGCTCATTTGGTTCAGAGGTTACCATTAAAATTACCGAAAAGTAGCCGAACAAATATTTATGTATAACAGACATGTATGGATAATATTATTTTTTTTAAATTTCAACTTAATTTTAATTTATAATTTAATTTAATATCTTTTGGATAACAGTTAAAATTTTAATCTAAATTTAAAAAAATTAACTTACCTTGTGAAGTTAAAAACTGAGTGAAGACTTACCTTGATATCTGTAATATACATAATAGGTACCTATATCAAAATTTATATTTAAGTCTAAATAAATAAATAACAATTTAATAATTTAGCTTTAGATTTTAGAGTAGGCATCTATAGAAATTTCAGTATTTTTTTTTCAAACTTTCCAAACTTATACTAACTAACGTTATATTCTGAGATATGTACCTATATGAAAATATTTAAGTTTATAACAGACCTATCACATGCAACTTTTTAACTGCCTATAGACAAATGTTTACAGGCGTCTGTACTGAAACATAATAAATAGATGTATTTATTATTGTTACCTACTTATACAATTGTGATACTGTGACAAAATTGTTCTACTAAATTCACTTTGACTTCTTAGAATGTAAATTTTTATCACGATTTTTTTTTTGTTGTTGTTACTTGAATTTATGGAGACTTAATTGGCATATTTAAATATAAAATTTACCTATTAACATAACAAATTTAATAAGAACTGGGGAGTGTAGTGAATGAAAAATAACAAACAATAATGTTGACAAATTAACCATGAAAAAAAATACATATTATATTTATCGTTTTTCAGAAAATAATTTAATACACTGTGATTTGATGGGAAAATGTTTTACAATGTGATATGAAACTTAAAATTGTTAAAACAATAAATAAATGGTAACAAAAAAACAAATTTAATATTATTTGTAATCTTCAAAAGATGTTGATTCTGTAGACGTATTTTCATATTTTTCTGAAAATAAAGAGATATAATTATTATGTGGATCATTAAATAAAACAATAATTGATAAAAACAATATGCAGTTTTCAATACTCAGATGATTACTGAGCGTGGGCGAAAGCTGAGAGAATAAGATTCGGTTCGATAAGGAGAATATTGTTTACACAATAAAACTAATTGTTTATACCTACATCATAATGTAACTCATAAGTTATTACTGTAATTATATACAATACAATTCTTTTTTTTAAATAGGTAGTAAAGCAATTTATTCTTCAGTAAATTCGAGTTCAGACTGTAAGGATCTTCAAGAAATATCTAGGAATTATTGTGATAAATGTTTATATAAATATGTAAATACTTCTAAATCAGTAGATACAGACGGCTTTAAAACAAAAAACTTAAAAAAAGGATTAATCAAGATGAAACCTTTATACTAAGACTGGCTGCTGTTTATAAGTAAAATATTTTCTAATAATTCAATTTATTGAGCTCACATGTTTATTTACTTACTTACTTAAAATTCGTCTATCGGCGGAGAAGAGTAATGTACGGATTGTAAGACACCGGATAAGTATAGGGGTAGGACGGATACGTGTACACCGGCGAAAACGTTTGCGGGTAGACATATATTTGGGCGTTAGCGATGGCAGCCAATGCTAAAGCAGCCACAACGAATAACTAAGGAGCAAAAAAAAAAAAAAAATACAAATCAGTGATATTTAAAAATAATAACTAGGTCTTCAGTTTGTTATATTATACTAGACAATTTTCATTGTATCTACTTACTTTTCTCGGTAATTTTAATACTTACCTATCTATAATTATTACCATATAGGAAACTATCATTTATTCTAGTGAGCCACTTTGAAAAAAAAAGGCATGGTGCTGCACCAAATAATTACGTGTTTTCGGTCTTTTTAAACAAATTATACAAAATTATAAAATTCGATTTATAATCAACCCCAAGTGTTATAAATTTATGATTTTTATTAAGTACCTATGTTTATATCGTGATATCGTTTTTTATTACTATTGGATTTTTCCTATTACACGTTTGACGGTAGCATCAAAACAAATCATTTTTTATTATTAAATACTATAATGATTTTGCATTGGATAATAAATAAAAATAAAACTAATGTGTTATAATTTTTACATTTAAAGTATGGGCATGTTATGAGGAAAGTAAAATCTGAAACAGTAAAAATTGCAATGGAAATAAACGTAGATGAAAAAAGAGGGAGTAAAAGAGTGAAAAAAAGGATGTTGGGTGCGATTGAAAATGGTATGAGGAATGAGGACAGCCAGTGTGTATGCGAGGCGAGAAATTGGGTCAAGTGGAAGTTTAGGACGAGAACAGCTGATCTTAAATAGTTGGGATGAAGACAAAAGAAAAGAAGAAGAAGAAAATTAAAATATTGTTCGAGCAAATAGTGGTGTCAGTTTTTTATACCGATATTATTTTTTATAAAAAAAAATATGGCAAAATACTAACAGATTACTCTGATAAAAAGGTTGACCAAAAATTATGTATAGAAACTGAAATTATTAATTAATTAGTTCCAAAAAATGTATTATTTAAAAGAACAGAAAACCGTCGGTCTTGTTTGATACAATACACAAGTAGATAATTAGGTATATTTTATCGTATGGAAGAATAAAAAATAGATGAATACTTATTCAGATATAAGTTAACTCACCATTAACTTGTACATGATGATTTTTCAAGAAGAGTTCTAGTGAACTTGAGGAGTGAAATAAAATATTCGTGAGTGTTCGGACGACTGTGACTTACTGATGTCGTCTCCAAAAACCCAATTGGTATTTATAGGTACCTATCGATTCATTTTGCTAAAAAAAATGGGATATTATCCCACTTAATATCTTACCTATACTGGTGTTTTTTTATAAATATTGTTTTAATTTTTATTACCTAGATAGGTAATTTTCCAAACCGTTCAATTTGTTTGTAGCCTCAAAAACCTGTATGAGGTTTGACAAATGAGCAGGTCGACCTACAATAATAATTGCAACTAGCCACTTTTTTACATTGCGGTAGGTGACCAGCGACCACGTGCTATTATTGAACGCACAAATTACCGTTGATATTTACAATAGGAAACTGGAGGACCACGACCGATGACGACACGAATATTATTCTCAGTTGTTTGTTGGTCAATCGTTTCGGTTATTGTGAACATCTTTTTAAATGTCAAGTGTATCTTCTCCATATATATTGTATTTTTTTTTTTACAAAATCAACAGACGAAGGTCATCAATCTGATATTAATGTATCTAGGTAATATTTGTAAAATTTAAAATCTGCAAAAACCTACCATTAATTGGCCAGCGTGTACTGATATAGTAGACTATACATTTATAAATTCTAAATCAACAGTGAATTCGAATGATTTTTGATGTTTGGTTTATTTGAAATTGAATCGCGCGTTTGTGAAGTAGAATATAATATTTTTATTTGCAATTAAATTAGAAAATTGTATTTATCAAGCAGTTACTAATATTATTAATCATTATATTACTCCATATTATCAGAAATACATGAACGCATGAAGTACAGTAGATCTATTTAAATATTATTACAGTCGACATAGCTACATCGTTATACATAAGTACACCACACTTAAAAAAAAAAAAAAAAGACGGACATACTTCGCACGTGGGCGCACCAGTGTTGTAGTTTAGAAGTTGGAAAGGTAGAAGGGAAATTGAATGTATATTTGTACACAACGATTGACCATTGCTAATGAAAACGATTCTAAGCGGAGTTCGGTTAATAGTGTTGCTCTATCAACAATACATGTGTCACATTATATATTTTCTTTAACATTATTTGTTTATTATTGTACCTATTTTCCCGTTTTTCCTATGTTTTTCCTGGGTTTTCCCATGTTTTTCCAATTTATTGGGAAAACTCCTGAGAAAATCAAAAAATGACCTTAAAGTACCACCCCAGTCAGATTTTCTTTCAAAAAAAGTGCTAATATTGTAAATCTAAGCAAAATTGCTGGTAGAAAATTCGTTCACAGGAAAAAAAAAGGCCGTAATATTTTTTTATGAATACCTTCTTTTCGTATATGTTTTCGCTTTTCCCCCCATTTATTGGGAAAACTCTTGGAAAAATCAAAAAACTACCTTCCTGAAGTACCACCTCAGTCAGATATTCTTTTAGAATTCCTTATAGACTTCTGAATAGGTAATCGAATAGGTAGGTCGAACTATTGAACATACACTATCGAACAGTTCGCAGTAGTATTGTTTGTACGTATACCGTATAATATTGACTGTTGAATAGTTTTTCGACTATTGAATAGTTTGGTAGTCAACAACTATTCGAAAAGCTCGAGAGTGACTATTCAGCAGTAGGCCCATCACTGTTAATAAGTGATTTTCACCTGTATAAATTTATTAGTGTTCGAATATTGATCCGAACTCGGTTGTTCAGGACGCGGTTATTTTTTCGTAATTTGCATTTATATAATGTTTTAAACCTAAAAATAATTCGTTCCGTCTGTTCTACTTATAATATGTCTGCATTAGTGCAGTACTATATACATCATTGTTTAAATTACTATATGGTAACTTTTGTTTTTAAAACTTCTGAACAGAAAGAAAAAAAAGCAGTTTTACTACGGTTCGTATAGGTACTAACTTGCGTAAAAACTGAAAACGTTACGTATTTATATTTTCTATGCGAAAAGCCGTTTAGTTTTGTACCATTTGTTCAAATTAAAAATGTCAAAAACCACGATCATCGATCATCATTGACGTTAATAGTAATCAAACTGAAAGTATCCACCCATCGATATCTGTAACGGTAAAGCGAAACAGGAAATTGTAATGAAAACCATCGCGACGTATGTACCGACACACGTGGTTATTTTATGAAAACAATGTTTATTGAACTGTAGACGAAAATTACAACAACAATTAAAAAAAAACCACACACGAAGCACGAAATTTCTATTCAAAAGCTAAACGACAAAACATATTATTTCGGACATCGTACATAACACGCGTGTTACAGGAAATTAGATTTTTTTCGCCCGGTCTTTCTGACGATGCTCTAATTTTTATCCGTCTCCGAGATACGATCATTTATTACACTGTCACTCGACTATATATATTTATTCATATATAATAATATGAGTCACTGTCGGTCCCTGACAAATAAATTAAAAACGACATCGCGGACAATGATAATAACAATTACGAAATAATACCAAACAATAAAATATTGTTAAAAATTGTTTGTACCATTTAGACAAAGTATATACTCATATATATAAATATTTTTTTGATATCTTTTTCATATGCAAATTGTCTATATTTTATGTAAATATAATTTTTAAATTTTTTTCATACTTATATTACGGTGTGTCCCATATTTTATGCAACGTCTCAGCCTCTTGTCGTCGGATTAAAATTTGGTTTTCTGTGATAACTATGCGACGTCGATACACACATTTTAGTAATATTTCAAAGGGGTACCTATCAAATCCGCCAGCATAAATAGTCTAAAAAATTACCTATCTATTCAGCCAGCTACCGATTTTTAATTGTGGATGTTCCTCTTTTGTTAAATTATCGGATATAATTAGATTGCACTCGACATTGATACACTCTCGTTAAGAGCGCACTTGAATATTTAACAAAGTTCGTTAAATCTCCCCTTTCTCACTGCTTGTCCGGGAATCAGATTGATCGTGCGTTTATCCCGCGGGACCGTAACCTACAGACGGAAACTCTTAACGTCATCCACTGCTTGCACTACACACCGAAACGCCGCCGTCGTGTAGCTAATAATTTATGCGGTTTTTATGCTCAATCTCGTTTATTCCGTTTGGCTTATCTATATGATAAGCCAAACGTGTCGAGCGTATTATTATTTTGAGATTTTTTTTCTTTCATTTTTTACCATCGTAAACGAAAACACTAGTTTGCTTTGTGACGGGTTTACATTAGATTGTGTTTTATACTTAGCGTTTATGCGAGTTTTTTTTTTTATTATATTTTTTATATACTTATTACCTATATATACTATATATTTATATTATAGGTACGCTATACGTCCGTTAAAAAGAATTATGAAACGTATTTGTTAATAATAGTTGTGTGACCGTCATACGGTGGGTTATAGAGGACTTAATAATATTTAGTTACCGTGGTAAATCAACAAAGAGTTATAGACGGATGGCATTTTTACATATTATAAGATTAAATGTTTAACGATCGTTTCGATTTAATAACATCATATTTGTACATGATGTTCCTTTTCTTGTTTTACGGTCAAATGAGATGAAATTACTTTAAAACATTCATATATCTTCTATATAAAATTCTCGTGTCACGTGTTTGTGGTCGCACTCCTCCGAAACGGCATGACCAATTTCAATGCAATTTTTTTTTTGTATATTTGGTAGGTATTAGAATAGGTTAAGTATTTTCCACCTTCCTAACCCCACCTAACATTTTTTTATTGTGATTTTAGTATTAATTCGGTTTTTAGGTATTATTAAATTATTTATTTTTATGGATTACTTTAGTCCCATGGATGAAATGAAAAAAAAAATGTAAAAGTTAGTTATATATATTTTTTTAAATTTAA